ATTTATAACGTTGTCATACTCTTCCATAACGTGTCACGTTCATATTAAAAACCATTTGTTCTTCAAATGGATCACAGATGTTTATGGAATCAAAGAGGCAAGCCATGGGATCCTCCCTCCATGTCGCTAGGCAAGGTCATTGGTTGTATATACAACCCAAGAGTCTAGGTTTCGATTTTAAAACTCTAATATCTGAATTCACAATTGCTGACCTCGTCAATGCCCATTTCCCTTGATCAAATCTCAATCGTCTCAAAATTTTAGATCGCAAATTTAATTGTTATTTATATATTAGAATATTACGGACCTCGATTTTATTTAGGAGTGACCATGGAGAGTTGCAAAAATTTTATTTCTCCTCGTGTTGTTTTCTCAATTATATCCCCATCTAGAAAGTTGGCATAAGGTGAAAAATTTTATTGGGGGCTAAGTGGATTATGTTCATCATGCTGTGTGTGTATATATATATATATGTAAAAGCCTAACTGCAAGAGATTGGTTTGATGTTTAAGGAAGTATGTTTTATTTCTTGATTTTATAGGTTCAAATCTTGGCACCCACATCCAAAAAAAAAAAAAAAAAAACTATTATTTGAAAACGCCAAATAGATGTGAGAGGTGGACTTTTAAAATTATTCAAATTTTTTTTTTAATTTGGATTGATGTGAAAACTAATTTAATGATATTTTTTATCATTAAACAAAAATAAATAAATAAAAAATTGGTAGCCTATGTATCTTTTATTGATTGCTGCCTAATTCTCAGCAAAAAGCACGCACTTCACTTAAAATACACTAATAACAAAAAATTACAATAAAATAAAATAAAATGTATATGTAAAAAAGAAATTTTCAAAACATAAATTTGTATACAAATACGAAATACTTGTGTGTAAAAACTATTATGACAGAATAATAACTATTGATAAAAAGTTCAAAATTTGTCTAAAATATATAAAAATATAATCTATTTTTTAAAAAATATTAATTTATAATGATAAGACAAAAATATTTTTCTCTCACCAAAAAGGAACAAAAAACTGAAAAGTATAAAAATAATAATTCCAATACATATATAACAGGAGCATCAACATAATATTACCTTGCCCAAAGAAGATTAAAAAAAATACAAAAGAATAAATAATAAATAATATATTCGGATATAAATTATAATAAAAAAGGTCACCAAAAAATTATATATCAATATAATAAAATCTCCCAAAACATATCGAAATAAAATGCTACAAATATAAATCTACCATAAAAGAAAGCACAAAAAAAAAAAAAATCAATAAATTAGGCTAAAAAGCCTAATCACTTATGAACTTTAAATCATTTGAGGATGAATCTCTGAAATTTTTTATTAGTTTTGGGGATATCTAAATTTTTATTTTTTTGAGATTTAGTCCATCCAATGATTTTCAATTATCATTTTTTCCTCTAAAAAAAATTTAAATTTTGATATTTTGAGCTGATAATTTATACAAATATTGAAAAAAAAATTCAACCTATTTTATAGAAAAATCTTAATTTTTTTCAAAATAAAAAACTGTAGTTGTTTATTTTTTGAACATTAAAAATATAAAAAATTAAAAAAAATAAAAAATAACCTCAAAATAATCTCAATTTTTTAAAGGATTTTCAAATAAATCTCGCTGAATAATTTTTATCATTAAAATATTTTTTTAATTATTATTTTTTTGAGATAAATGATAAAAAACTGAAAGATAGGTTAAATCTAAAAAAAAAAGTTTATGAATATTCAAAATTAATAAAAAAGTTCATAAACTCAGCCATAAATAAATTAAAGTTCAACAGTGGTGATTATAACGTTTTTGCTTCAATTTAAATTCGTTGAATCCCTCTTAAAAAAAAAAAATTGCCGTGAAAAATGCGAGCACAACAAAAGAGGAACAAAAATAAATAGTAAAATATAAAACTACCATAAAAGAAATACACACCGCACGACAAAACATTAAAAGAATATAAAATAGTTTATTGATTTTGAATTTCAATTCAACAAATCAAAGAAAAAAGGACATACTTATTGAATAAAAATTGCATGCAGAACAAAAACAATAATAATTGAAAATAGTGAAATACATAGAACAACACTAGGCAGCATAGGGCCCTAGGGAAAGATTCTAAAATCAGTAGAAAACTTTTGCTAAGGTAATATCATCAATGGCCGTACACCCGCACATATGTAGGCTATTGGATAGTGAATATTGAATTTTCGAACTCTATGACGTCATAATAACAAGAACAATTTAAATGCCTGTTTTTATATTATTATTATTATTATTATTTAAATTCACTCATTCAAGCTAATTAAGAAGGCAGGGGAGGTTTAACTCGGACCATGGATTGAGTTGTTGCACTCTAGCTTGTTTCTCAAGCGAGAAGAGAAATCCCAGATTCAAAATCTGCCGAACGCCCCCATCCTCTCTATAATCTAATTGTTATTTCTTAGAAATGAAGACAAAGAAGGCAACAAGACCCTTGTATAACTACTGTACCCTCTGGCGGTACCTGGTTAATTCTATAGTGACTGTAAGACTGTAATTATTTGTCAAAAATTAAATATCTGACGAGTTGGTTAATTTACTTAAAATTCCATTATATATATAATCCCAGTACATCAAAATTAATATTAAAAAACCCCCAACGGTTTTTTTTTTTTATGAAAAAAATGGAGAGAGGCTGTAGCTAAGATAGTCGTGCCAAAGAGGATGACGGAGGCAAAACCATCGAAGACTTTCAAGGCTGCATTTTTTTTTAAAATTAAAATTTGTATATATTCACATAAATGAGTGTAAATTATAAATTAATCGTTCTTGTTTTGAAAAATAAATAAATATTTTTTTTTATTTTTAAAAATTAATTATTTAATTTTTATATTTTAAAATGTATTTATAATTTATTTTAATTTTTTGTTTTAATAAATAAAAAATATGAAAAAATAAGAGATTTTATGAAATAAAAATAATATTAAATTAAATATGTTTCAGATTAAAAAATTAAATAATAATTTTTAAAATAAAAAAGATTAATTAATTTATTTCTATAAAAAAAAATTAGTAGTAAGTTGATTTACCTTCCTGGAAGTCGACCCTCCTTGTTTTATTTTTTGCATAGTGGATGGAATCCCAATCCCATAGCCGATAAATATAATTTTTTTTCCTCAAATAAAAACAAAACAAAAATATTTGAAAATAGGAGCGTGATGGAGCGTGTAAAAAGTAATAACGTGGTCCTCGACGAAATAGTATCTCTGCATATATTTGTACAGTGAGCTTTTGATTACTCTCTTTTTCTCACTGACAAAATATAACAAAGACATACAAATAGACGCAGAAAGAGTCTCGAGAACTGAGCACACAAGCAACTACCTACTCCACTCTCTCTACCATTGCGAAACTCAGCATCCTGTTTGCTTTAGCTAAACTAGGGTTTTCTTCCCTTTCTTCTTTCAAAAACAAGCCTTCTTCAAGACAGACACACATTTTCTGGTAAGCCCCAAATGTTAACTTGTTATGTTTTTGTTTTGTTATACATTGTTTAGTTTTGGGGTCTTGATTTTCTGAGGTTTTTTTTTTTTTTTAAAAGTATAAGTTGAGGTTTTTCTTTTGTGGGTTTGAAATAACTTCTCTGTTTTTAGGTGCTGTCAATTTTTGAGCTGTGTTTGCTTCTTTTTTCTTAGCAATAATGCTTCTTTTGTGTTTCTTTTTGAAAGATATCTCGTTTTCTAGTAAAGTTCTGCTTCCACTTGAAAAATGTGGGTGGGGTTTTCTGTGTTTGGTCTTAAGTTCGGAACTTGAAGTGTTTGCAGGCTTTCGAGTTTGAAAGTAGCAAAGAAGACCCAAAGCCTTAAGGTTTTTGTTTCTGATGTGACAAATTAGTCTTGGAAAACATTTCTTTGCTTACCCTGGATCTCTGTTTCTACTGTCTCTGTTTTTAGCTTATTTTGCGTTAAGCTTGTTTTAGATCAGGTTTTTTTTTTCTTTTTTTTTTTTTGGTAGATCTAAGAGTTTAAAGAGTGAGATTTTTTCATGGTGTAGCATCATATGTTGGTGATAATTTGTTTTCAGTTTCCTTACTAATTTACTGTTGTTCTTTTTTTCCCCATTTTGGGATGGGTTTTTTAGTGTCTACAAGGGTAGTCTGTCACTTTTCAAAATTGTAATTTCTTCAATGGTTTTAAGGTTCTGAAAATGCTAGAGAATTTAAGTCAAGGAATGTTCCCCTGTTCAAATTTCTCCAAGTTTATTTCGCAATTATTGGTACATTTGACATGCAAGTCTTGATTAAAAAAAAAATTCCGGAGGTTGTCCTTGGATGTGGAGATAGAATGTTTCTATTATGTTCCTTTTCTCGTTTTGAACTTGTGTTATGAAATATTTGTAGCTGTCATCAAGCGTGGTTTTTTCACACCACATACACAAGAAGAAAGGTAAAAGGATTTTAATTAAGAATGGAACTAATTTTTATGTTATAAACAAAATGACAGCAATTTCCAAATGAACAGAGCATTCATGCTGTCATGATCATCATTTATCTGGTTCTGGCCCATTGTTCTGATTATAACCGTGTTTGGAGCACGATACAAGTACTTGAGTGAAAAGAAAGGGATAAAAAAGGAAAGAGAAAAGAAAGTTGCAAAGTTGTATTATGTAATGATACGTGATGAGGTCTTCTGATGACTCTTTTTCTTTTTTTTTTTTAATGTTTTCTTGTGGTTTTGGTTGGTGGTAGTGGGGGTGGTTTCTGAGGAGTTCCTTTGAAGGGATTGTATTGTTTGTTTGTTAGGTTTGTGCATACAGATTTGAGGTGGCTTTCATCGTTCCGAAAACTACACTATCCTTCTTTTCACATACATATATATCAGATTCTCTTTTGAATTCCTTTCTCAGCCAAAGATTTGCTCTGAAGAACTGCAGGTGGTGTGGGCCAGGTGGGGTTTCAAGAAGAGTACTTCTAGTGAAGAAGATAGAAAGGCATAATGCAGACACCAAAAGCAAAGTAAGATTGCCATTTCATTTTGCAACATTACAACGTTTTTACCCATTCTTGATGTTTTGTTGGTTTTCCTGTGATCTGTTTTCTTGTGTCATGAACTGAAAATGACCTCAATATCATGTTCTTCAAGTAATATAGACTTATTTATTTCTGCACTGTTTTTCTAATCTATATTCAGAAAACTGCTTTCATTGTAAGCCCATTGATTCTATTCTAAGTGAATTTGTCTTCTGCAATTGATTTATCGGTGATTTAGAGAATCATTTGGTAACTAAATGTGTATCCAACAGATAATTTAATTGATGGTCTTAGGACTGAAAAACAAAAATGTTAGAAGGAACATAACAAGTTTTAAAATGGTACTGATTCAATCTAAGTTTTAACACAAGTTTTGTTTCCCCTTTCCTTTTCTTTTTCTTTTGTTTTTGAAAAAAAAAAAAAGAAACCTATTTTATCCCAGCAGTCAACAAAGCATATTGACTGGTATCTCAAAGGTAATTAATAACAGTAAATGAGGTGAGGCATCAAAATCTAAGTAGTGGGTGAATGTTGAACTATTAATATGGTTAATCCATTCAAGTAGTGGCAGGTATTGAAATTTTATCACCTAACAGCGCATTAATGTACCCTGAATCCTAGCATTGTTATTCCATTCAAGAGGTGGCAGGTATTGAATTGTATCACCTAAAAACACACTGATGTTCTATGAATTATTGCATGGTTAATCTATTCAAAGTGTAGTAAATTTGTCACCTAGCAACTAACTGATATAGCTTGATTAGTCCTGGCACTTTACACTTTTGAAACAGATTTGTTTATGTTTTTCATTGTTGCAATTTAGTTTTTCCATTTCTTTTCTTTTGTTCTTCTTGTATTTTCTCAAGCCCTGGCTGTTATCTGCCATCAGCTGCTGGAACTTGAAAGTAGATCCTTTCATTTTCATGCATGTCTAACTATGCTGGTTGTTTCTCTAACTTCAAGTGCAGACCTAGCTCTTTGGAAGTGCCTCAGAAGAAATCTCCTGCAACACCTCGAACTCGCCAGCTGAAGACACCTGGATCAGAAACTGACTCTGTCTCTCCAAATCCTGCAAGTAGGACCCCAAAAGACAGAAGTCCTAAAGTCACTGAAAGGAGATCACCACGAAGTACAGCAACTGAGGTACTCAGCTACAACTAGTTCATTGTTAAAAGGAATTACCTGGGGGAGTTTTTTACGGCTGTTCATGTCATAGTTAACAATGCTTATTTATTTTACTGTTACAAATCCTGTCAATGCTTATTTATTTTACTGTTACAAATCCTGTCTACATCATTTGAACGTTTTTATCCATATAATTCTTTGATTTTCAACCTTCTCTATTGATTGATTTATTTATTTTTATTTGAGAAGGAACAATTTTGTAAATGTTTATATTTTTGCATATTATTGTTGTTGATACTGTTGTTTACTTACTTTGCTATCCTCTCTTCTTTGTGAGCCCAGAAGAAGCGCCCAAGCAGAATATCTGAATTGGAATCACAGCTTGCACAACTTACGGAGGATCTGAAAAAGGCAAAAGATCAACTAAACACATCAGAGTCATGGAAGAGGCGAGCCCAGCAGGAAGCTGAAGATACCAAGAAGCAGGTTTTAACCATGTCTGCAAAACTGGTTGAATCACAACAGCAATTGATGGAGCTTTCTAGTTCTGAAGATGTTCGTGTTCAAGAGCTCCGTAAAGTCTCCCATGATCGAGATAAAGCTTGGGAGTCTGAACTGGAGGCTCTGCAGAAGCAGCACTCTATTGATTCAGCTGCTTTGGCTTCTGCCATGAACGAAATTCAGAGGCTCAAAACTCAGATGGAAATGGTAGTAGAATCTGAAGCTTCCCAAACAAAACATGCTGAATCAGCGTATGCTGAATTACAAGGGTTGAGACTGGAACTAACTGAAACTCTCTCCCTTGTTGAAAAAATGAAAACTGAGCTCAGTGATACCAGGGAATCTGAAGCTCAAGCCCTAGAACTTGTTAGTAAAACTCAAAAGCAACTGGAAGAAGCAAATGCAACTGCTGAAATGCTGCGGGCAGATGGCATCAAAGCCATGGAGGCTTACAGATCCTTGTCATTGGAGCTAGAACAATCAAGAACTCAAGTAAAATCTTTGGAGGAACTAGTGAGCAAACTGCAAGCAAATCTGGTGAACATCGGTGATAAAACAGTCATGAATCCTACAGGGGATGATCAAGTTTCACAGGAAAGTGTAGATAATGAGGAAACCAAACAGCTCAAAGCAGAGATGAACCTTTTGAAACATGAAGTAGGTCAGTTGAGATCTGCACTAGAAGCATCTGAGACCAGGTACCAGGAAGAATATATTCAAAGCACATTGCAGATTAGAAGTGCTTATGAACAAGTTGAACGTACAAAGTTGGAATCAGGCCAAAGAGAGGCTGAATTGGAAGCAGAAGTGAAGAAAGCCAAAAATAATATTGAAGAATTGAGGGCTAACCTGATGGATAAGGAAACTGAATTGCAGGGCATTTCTGAGGAGAATGAGGGTCTGACTTTGAAGATTAAGAAAAATCAGCCAAGTGAGAGAGAATCTGAGCTTGCAATGGAGCTGAACAAGTTAGAGCATGATCTGGCAGAGTTGAAGGCAAGCTTGTTGGATAAGGAAGCACGGTTGCAGAGTGTAGCTGAGGAAAATGAAACACTCAGGACAGAAATCAAGGAAGGGGAAATGGAGCGAAGTAAAGTTAATGATGAAGCTGTTGCTTTGGCAGAAACTGCAAGGGCTGCAGAACGTGAGGCTCTGATGAAACTTGGTTATGTGACAGAGGAAGCAGACAAAAGTAGCAGAAGAGTAGCACGGGTGACTGAGCAGCTGGATGCAGCCCAGGCAGCAAACACAGAAATGGAGGCTGAATTGAGGAGGTTAAAGGTGCAGTCAGACCAGTGGAGAAAGGCTGCTGAGGCAGCTGCTACTATGCTTTCCACTGGGAACAATGGTAAATTTGTAGAGAGAACAGGTTCACTTGACAACAACTATAATCCTGTTGCTGGAAACATGGATTCGCCTTACTCTGAAGACATGGATGATGACTCACCAAAGAAGAAAAACGGGAACATGTTGAAGAAAATTGGAGTCTTGTGGAAGAAGGGTCAGAAGTAGCCAGGCTCCACCGGCAGGTTACAATGCATTTTATGGTTGTTTTATTGGTTTGAATACTTTTCTTTTTTCTAATCTTTTAGTGTTCTTGTTCTTATAAATTGCAGGTTCTGGTTGGTAGCAGCCACGTTTTATATGATAAATTTGTTTCAAAGACTAGGCTCTTTTGAAAACTACTTGTATAGTTTGGTGGAAAATGGTGAACTTCAGGGATTCCATTTTGTTTCATCTGATGGTTGGAGTGGCTTTGATTTTCTACTGGACATCTAGTTCACTCTATGAAGCAGTTGATCTGTGCTAGTAGTCCATCAGCACGAATTATGTATTAATTTGGAACAAACAATCTGAAAAATAGGAACACTTGTATTGTATTCTCGGAGATATGATGTTGGAACTCCATTCCAAGTTTACTTCGGCTAATGAATTTGTGTTTCTTGTACTAGACCAAGCTAGTTGGCACTCATCTTCTTTCTCCTGTTATTTTTCCTTGCTTAGTGCCTATGCAATCGTGAGACAGCCCAGAATGTTTTCCTCCGGACGATATCAATAGTCATGCAAAATCAATGTCGTCGTCAACTCCGACATTTCTTAGTTGCCTCTATCCCACGTCCTAGCATTTCAAGTTCTCTAGCAAGCGTTCAAAGGAAGTTACTCGTGTTCTGAAACAATTCATTACATTGGAAGTGGACTGGGTTACCAAATCATTGTATGTTTTCGATCTTTGTTACCAAGGAGATCACTCCAGAATATATATATATGTCAAAATAGATTATTTGAAAACTAATTATTTAATTTTGTTATCTATTTTTTAATTTGTTATGTTTTTTTTTTTGTTTTTAAAAAATTATAAAAAAATTGACGAGAAAAGAAGATATTTTCTAAAATAAAATGCTATTAAATTAAATATAATCAATGTTAGGGAAAAAAAACTAATTAATTTTTTTTTCTCAAAACTAGAAGGACTATTTTATTATTTACTCTTACCAGAAATTCCTAAAGACCAATAAGCTTTTCGAAAAAAAAATAAAAAAATAAAATGAAAAATCTTCTCTTTGTTTTTTAATTTCTGGTAGGATTAGCTTTTCTGGGCTTCTGTGTAGACCCGATAAACTGAATGACAAACTAGAAGCTCAAAGATAAGCCCAACAATTGCTCAGATGAAATTAACCTTGCCGAGCCAGCCCATTCATATGTGTTTATATATAGACAGCATCCCCTTCTTTCGTAGGGTTAGGGTTTTATTTAGCAGCAGCTGCTTCTTCTCCTTCGCTTCCAAAACCCTCTCCGCCGTCGAATAACTAATCTCAGTAAACATGGGGTACGCCACTTTGCTACTTTGCTGTGATTGAAGCTGTGATGTTATGCATTTGTTTTGAATCTTGTATTTTTTAGTAATGTCTTCTTATAACAGTAGCTGAGATAGTTGAAGATAGGAAAAAGTTGAAAAATCTATGGAGTTTTAAACTTTAAGCCCTGTTACAGGTTTATGAAAATGTTGGCACGTGATGTTTCGTAAACTCTAGTGTATTTGAAACCCTATTTTTCATAGATTTGTGTTTTCATAGCCGAGTCTTAGTCAGGGGATGCCATCTTTTTTTCTTTTTTTTTAATTCTGATAACTAAATTTGGTTTTTGTAAGATCGAATTATGATTAGGCTATTCCCGTGATTGAGCAGGAATTTGGATGAATTAGAATTTTATTAGGCCGTTCAAGGTTTTGTTGTTTGAATCTGGTTTAGTTTGGCCCTTTGGCCTGCTAAATTTCGATCTTTTCTATCAACTTGAAAATGTTTTTGTGAGTTCGCAGTGGTCTTCTCTGTGAGATGCTTGCTCCCCTAAGTGGAAGCCATATTTTTTTTTAACTGGGGAAATAAGCAGATCTGGCAAGCAATCGCAGGCCCTTTGGCTTGTTAAATTTCAATCTTTTTTTTCTATCCACTTGAAAATGTTTTGGTGTGTTCTCAGTGGCTTTTCTGTGAGATGCCCTACCACTTCCCCCCCCCCCCCCCCCCACTAAAGTGGTAGGTCAATTTTTTTTTTTTTTTGAATGGGAATGGAATAAGCAGATTTGGTAATCAGGGATTTTAGATTGCTTGCCAAATCAAATTTAATGACCAGAAACTCTAGAAATAGTATTATCTATATTATGTGTTCATGACTTGTTAGTGATTTTGGACAGTGTGTTGGGTTTTCTCCATTTAAATTTGAGGTTTTTTTTCCTGAATTATTTTAGTAACGTCTATACAGTAAGACACGTGGTATGGGAGCTGGTCGCAAGCTCAAGTCCCACCGCCGAAGGCAGAGGTGGGCTGATAAGGCTTACAAGAAGTCCAACCTTGGCAATGAATGGAAGAAACCATTTGCTGGTTCATCTCATGCCAAAGGCATTGTTCTTGAGAAGATGTAAGGCTGCCTTATGGTTTTTTAAATGTGCTTTATTAAATTTAAAGCTTGAAATGCTTATTTGTACTATTGGCTGTGTTATATTTGCAGAGGTATTGAGGCCAAGCAGCCTAACTCTGCTATCAGAAAGTGTGCTAGAGTTCAACTAATCAAAAATGGAAAGAAGATTGCTGCTTTTGTTCCAAATGATGGTTGCTTAAACTATATTGAAGAAAATGTGAGTACAGTGTGTTTGCTGATAACCTAGAGTACTTCTAACTGATTTTAATTATCCCTTTTCTGTGTGTTTGCTGATAACCTAGTATATAATTTGTTGTCCTAGGATGAGGTGTTGATTGCTGGATTTGGACGTAAAGGTCATGCTGTGGGAGATATTCCTGGTGTTAGATTCAAGGTTGTGAAGGTATCTGGTGTCTCACTTTTGGCACTTTTCAAAGAGAAGAAGGAGAAGCCAAGGTCTTAAATTGTCATGGAGAGTTTGTCATTTTATATAGTTTATTGTTAGTCTTTTTAAAGAATTGGGATTTGTTCTTTTTGTTATCGAGTGGATGTTGTGAACAATTTTTAATCTCCTTTCAGTTACTGTATTGAATTTCTGGTTTCAATTTTCAGTCGAGTATTTACTACGTCTCTGGAACATGATGGTCGCAGACTTTCAGCAGATGCGCTCCATCTTTATTATAACCTTGGCAAATCTAAATCAATTAGTTGCCGACTTTGTGTTCGATTGGATTGGACCTTCAGTTCATTTGAAGTAAAAACTATGACAGTATGTAAAAGACTCCGAGCTGGGTATTTCTTCTGGAAAAGAACTGAACAAGAAGAAACAAATTTTTTCTTCTTCTGTTAAAAATTTACTCGTAAAAGTAAGATCTCAATTTTTCATCCTGTAACAAAATTCCTCAATTGTTTATTCATTATACTATTATATTACGTTTAACTCGTTTAGATTTCGGCCGTACGTGAATTTTGAAAAATTTGGTGCACGTGGAAAGGAGCTGAACCGAAAACGATACAGGGTGGAAAGAGAATGACTTTGGACCCGATCGTGACCCTCTGGTTATCAGGACTGCAATTAGGCCATTCCCGCTTCCACTTTGCACACCTCGAGTCCTATCCAAAGGGCCTCTGTTCCAGCCTCAAAAGGAAAATAAAAAAAGGTTATGGAAAGATCAAATTTGCTTTGTTTGTCACGTCAATCTGTGATCACGAAAAAATGGCCCAATCCAATATGGGCAAAATCAATAAAACCTACCCAGAAAGATGCGATTGACAATTATGTGAACTCATAAAATAAAAAAACGATCCTGTATTAGTTTTAGAGCCATGTGCTTAATAATATGGAAAATGATTTCCCTGGAAGGAAACACAGCTACATGCATTGACTATCAGCTTATATATGACCAAAGTTTCCCGCAACAATTTTAAACAGAAACTTACCCAAAAAAAAAAAAAAAAAAACCCAACGAATTATCAATGATATAAAAATGGACATATAGGCATGAAATGTACATTCGAACTACAAGAATTCTGTCCTCTCGTTATCACAAGTTCTCTAAGTCTGATTTGCACACTCATCCAATTTACGTCGGACAGAAAATTCTAACAAGAAACGTGGCGTGAAGCTCCCAGATATTTTTCACACACTCTCTTGCTGGCAGTGGTTGTTAACAACAGCCTCCAAGTAAACACCTACCTGCAATCCATTATGAGTCAAGATCAATCTAGCATGAAGCAGAACTCCAGGAAATGTAAAGATGACTTTATTAATACTGCCTGACAGCCTAAGATTAAATACTTTTATCAAGTTGCAAAGTACGACACAATATAATGGCGACATATTTGATGAACATTTTATTTAGATATACCTTTGAGACATTTACTGCTGGGATGTTTCGCCATCTAAGGTTTTCCATGAGTGGTTGCTGGATGTAATAAGGTGACTGCCTCTGCCATATGCGCTTCCACCATTGTTGATGCCATGGAGCAAGAGGGCTTTGACAGCTCTTTGAATTCCTCCTGAATACAAGAATCACCTCTGCTGACATCATCTTGAGAAAGGGAAAGAGAATCACCCACAACTTCTTCGTGCACATCAGCATGAATATCTAAAGCTCCAATTTGTTTGATCAAACCATCAATTGGGTCTTCAACAGAAGCTTTATGAATTATTGCCTCCGCTTCCACCATTATTGATGCCATAGCAGGAACAGGAGAGCAAGTGGGCTTTGGCAATTCTTTGAATTCCTCCTGAATACCAGAATCAACTCTGCTGACTTCATGTCGAAAACAGGAAGGAGAATCACCAACAGTTTCTTTGTGCATCGCAAGATGAAAATCTATGGCTCCAATTTGTGCTCCAATTTGTTTGGTCAAACCATCAGCTGTGTCAACAGAAGCTCTATGAATTCCTGACTCTGCTTCCACCATTGATGATGCCATAGCAGGAACGGGAGAGCAAGTAGGCTTTGACAATTCTTTGAATGCCTCCTGATTACCAGAATCAACTCCGCTGACATCATGTTGAGAGCAGGAAAGAGAATCACCAATAGCTTCTTTGTGCATCTCAATATGAAAATCTACGGCTTCAATTTGTTTGGTCAAACCATCAACTTGGCCTTCAACAGAAGCTTTATCAATTCCAGCCTCTGCCTTCTCTGCTTCCACGATTGTTGATGCCATAGCAGAATTTGGGGAGCAAGTAGGCTCTGACAAATGTTTGAATTCCTCCTGAATACCTGAAGCAGCTCTACCGACATCATGTTGAGAAAGGGAAAAGGAATCGCCAATGGCTTCTTTGTGAGTCTCGATATAAAAATCCACAGCTCCAATTTGTTTTGTCAAACAACCAATTTGATCTTCAGTAAAACCCTTTTTCTTCTCATTAGTGCTGTTAAGAGAAGGCAAACTATTCTTGATATAATTTTGGCTACATATCACATCTTCACCTACTTTCTCTAATGAGGTTATATTTTCAACGTTGGGAATAGAACTTGAGTTGGTTGTCATATCAGGCAATCCATTGCGGAGAGTAATCTCTGTATCTTTTCCAGGAGCATCACCCTTGCTCTCTGTTTCCTTTTTATCCTTCAAAAAACAGGCATTCTCATTCATTTCAGTAAAACCACTGTCTGAATTTTTCAGTGACATGCCACATTCTTCTGATCCAACTTTATCAGCCTTCAAATTACCTTTTCTTTCGCCTTGAAAAGACATTCTGTTCTGAACTTTCGAAGATATGCCAGCATTGTGTTTCTCATTTTTCAAAGCACTTGAGACCCTTGGTGCTGCATTGGAGGATTCCTGCAGAGGTAAGGGAGTTTTAGATTTCATGACCAAGGCAGATGCCTGATCACTGATTTTGGTACCCCGAACTGCTGTTCTAGCAGGTTGAAGCTTTCCAGGCTTTGCCTCGTTTGACCCTCCACTTGGACTAGCACTTCCTGACCCATATCCAGGCAAGCCACTGGGCAGAGCTGTTTGAGATTGCTTACCTCTATTGGGAGTTCGCACAGCTGATCTCACCTGCATAATTGACAAATTACATGTGGGTATTACAATTGCCTGAAAAAGTGCAAATTGGAAGAACAATGATAAAGAACAAGGGAGGTTGTTTTGCTGGCTTAAATTTCAAAAAACAACAGTTTGTAAAGATAGTTGTCCTAGATTATGAATGATGTATTTTTATCTCCTTTCCCTTGGGAAATTCACTAGCCTACAACGCTTATGAAAGGAAACTCAGAACTGACCCCATCAAAGAAACCAATTTTGGGTGATGGCAGCCGAAGGCCTGAGGGTTTAACCAAATCTGGATGAAGAACTGAACTGCTTCCTGTAGGAACTTTCTTTACATGTTCACCCAGCAATCCCACTTGGGTACCATGCCCAACAGAGTGCTCATCATTGAAATACTTATGAGAATCCAAAACTTGGGAGGCTTCACTGTCTCCAGAAGCATCTTTGCAAGAGCTAATTTCAAAGCTAGACCTTGAACTGTTAGACATTTTGTTAAGGGTAGAAGTTGGAGATAATGATGCTGAAGACCATTCACTAGTAGAGCTAGCAGGTGATATGCTAGAAGAGATCTTGGTCACAGATTTCAAACAAGGTGAGAGATGTGAATTTGTTGACTCGTTTTTATTTCTTGATGGCAATTTTAATGTGGTTTTGACATTTGAACCAGAGGCAGAATGATTGCCAGTTCTGGAGTCACTTTTTCTTCTCACAGAATTCAATGAAGATTTACTGCTACAGTCTGATGACACACTTCCAGAACTATCAATAGAGGACGAAGTTGTTAGCTCCTTCTTCATTGCTGATGAAGATCGCAATGAAGATTTAACAGGCAATGTTGGCCTAGGCACAGCATTTCGGGGACCCCTCAACACAGGTACTTTTGCCTCTCTACCTGCACCATTACATTCATGTCAGAAGTGCAGCACATTCTCTGCATCAAACGGAATAAATCATAAGAAACCAGAGATGAATTTACCAGTCAACTTTTTTGCGTTTTCTGGATTATCCTTGTCCTTTTCCACTTTGACACGGTTGGCACCTAAGGAAGATCTCTTAGTTGCTGGTGCTAAGATGGGACCAACTCTGCCAACTATCTTCGGTGGCCTACAAAGAGATTTTGACTCTCTATTTATAGGAATAGACTGTATTGATGAAAAAAAATGTTAGTTAAACTGGATCCAAAATCAGGTCCATTTCGTGATCTTTAAATGCTAATTCTTTTTCCCTCCTTATGTAAACAAATAGCATGCCAAATAATATGTAGACAAAATATCTGGATCAAACGACTAATGTCTGCTTCCAGTTAAATGATAGTATAACTGGCATGATTCCTTTTCACATAGCAACATAATTAACAAAACATATACCAAATATCAATTAAATGCATGCTATGAAGTTTGTAGACAAACAGACCTGCTTTGCAGTCTTTGCTGTTCCTTGGATGACTGCATTTGGCTTGTTGGGAGCAGCTTTGGCCTTTAATTGAATTTACAATAATAAAGTATGAAAAAATGTACGAAAGTTCTTAACGATAAAGACAATCAAGTGATTTAGAGTTCTAGCTGTTGAAGTTACCTTATTTCGAGAAGCAACATCCACATTCTCCAAAGCTGAAAGGAACAGTTCAGTTAGTTTGAAAATAAGCTAATAAAAATATGTGATCATAATGGATTAATTGAAATCTTCCACCCAACATCTACAAGGTAACTGTATAACGTAATCAGTCTGAACTTAGACAAAGATTTATCACAAAAAAATAAACAATGAAAACTATCCTGCAAGATCCGATTATGTGCACAGATGCAAGAGGGAAGAGGACGTCAGCCGTTTTTTGTGAAAATCAGTCCAGAAACAATAACTGAACTTGAAATGCTAGTTTACATTTAACCTTGTTTCCTTGGCAAACCTGAGCTTTAAACACATCACAAGTAGAAGATGATCTAGGGATTTTAAGTTTAGTTACGTAGGGAAAAAGGTTATTTTAGACTATCCTGAAAGATCCAAACCTGTGCACACATGCAAAAAGGAAGAGAACGGCAGCTCAACATCCTACAGAGTATATCCTACACAACTGCACCATCTTTTCAGCAAGACAACAAGTTCAGCAACTATAAGTAGATTCATGAATGCACATTTACTTTTTACCTTGTCCCCTTGGCAAACCAAGCATTATGCCCATATTAGATAGAAATCAGGCGACCTGGGGATTTTAAATTTTGTGACATTGAAAAAGGTTATTTTAGACTGTTGGATCTGAAAACCGGCTGAATGGTAAATTAATGTATTATTGATAGACTAAGTAATGGCTTGCTAGGTTTAGACAGGACAATCAATTCCAATAGTGATAGAGGACTCATGGTTGCATGAGTTAGATGTGAGTTAGATTCAGTATTTTGATTGTCCTAGATCAAGTGTACTGATAAAAGCATACTTACATCGGACAGTTTTGCTTTCAGTCTTTGGAGAATCCACTTTACTACTTGAATTTACCACATCGGACCCTTTAGTGGATCGCTGAATTGAAGCTCTTATATCTCCAAACAAGTCAGTCTCAAGATTCTCCAGTGTCAAATTCTCACTGGCTAATGTAGATATTGAATCGGTAGATTTATTGATATCCTCCTCAATTCCAGGTAACATATGTTTCGCACCACCGTTCTTACCTCCAATCATGCTAGACAACTCCTCCGGTTCTAGAACACCTGCTTACACCAAAAATGGGTTTCTTCCAAATGAATATTCGCGAATGCTATATGAAGCTCGGATCCAAAATTTTCAAATGTCATGAGATGAAAGCAAACCTGCACTTGTGAAGAAAGCACTGTCCCAAGCTAAACTTTTGCGCAAGTTATACTTAGTATTCTTTTTCACCCTTTCTGGTTCCATTGATTTAACGGGTTCAGGTCCTAGTTCTCCCCCTTCAAAGGATTCCACCATGGATTGATCCGCAAAACCCAAATTACTTTTGGCCTCTGTCTTATTATCTGTAAATTTAATGCTAACAAATTATTTGTGCCATAGATAATGAAACAAAACTTAAATTCTATAATTTTGTTCTTAATCTGCAATCTATTGAGCTACTCTAACGCTTATATTAGTTGCAAAATTACAGGTTAATTGATTTAGACACAAATCGGCCACAATTTTAAACCCTATTTTGTTGGATTAAAGAAAAATATTGAGTTTAAGCAAGTAGAAAAATAGGATAATAAAAGGATAATTAAAAATTCCAAATTTCAAAAATAAGAATAATAACAAGATCAATTAAATTCACATCGCAACTAACAAATCACAAGTTAAATTTAAGCTTGTTAGCAGAACTAAAACAGCTTGATCACGCTTAAAAAAAATTATAAAAACAAACAAAACAAAACAGGAAGAAAAGGGAACAAATGGATGAGTGATAAAAAGAGTACCTGAAAATCGGACGTGGAAGTCGTGAGAAGGGGAGTTATAAAGGCAATCGTCTTCGAAGGAGACATCAATGAGGCTTAGCCTTTTATCTTCGAAGCTGAAATTTTGCTCTGATTCATTCATTGCGAAGAGGATCTAAGTGAAAAAAATTAATAAAAGTTATTTATTGATTTTGAATTTAGGGCTCAGAGTGTGAGAGATTTGAGAGGTAGAAAAGGAGGCAGTAGCGAGAGAGAGCGAGAGAGAGAGAGAGAGAGAGAGAGCCAGAGAGAGAGAGAGAGGGAGATAGATTTTTGAATTTTCGGAGAAGCGGCGGTTTAAAAAATTAAAATAATTCGCAAGTAATTTGTAAAAAAAAAGAAAAAAGAAAAAAAGAACAAGTTGGGATGGGAGAGTGGGCGTCTGGTGTATATTGGGCTTTGACAGAGGTGAAAGGTACCTGTCAACTGGGCCTTAACAGGGCCAATTTAAGAGATCATAGTTATGATGGACGGAAGGATGATCTGGAACGTTAAGCTTATATATATATATATATATTTCTCTTATTGAGCCATGAGCAAATCACTACCGTTGGGTTATAACAGGGAGAGGCCCACAGCTGTTAATGAATACTTGTGATCCAGTTATTGACAGCCCGAAGAAATTCAGGATACATTTGGTATCGTGTTTTTTCTTCTTTATTTTTGTGCTCTGTATCTGACAACTTGATTTTGATCTTTTAACTTCCATTTCTCAAAAGGTTATCATAGTCATTGATGGTGGTGGCAACACATTTTTTATCTTTTATTTTTATTTTTTTTAAGAGAAAATAAAGGTAATGAACGGCATAAAAAAATTATCGTTAACTTATTTGGACGGGCGCCATGTGCAGTTAGAGACATGTCTTCCATATATAAACCGATGGCCACTACTTGGCCTTCGTAACTCTGTCAAGAAAGCATAATAAAAATGAATGGAAACTCAATTTTTTTCACCAAGGAAACTGAAATGTAAGCAAGATGATCTATCTACTACCTTATAACTTCCAATCTTGCGGACATCAACGTTCAATCCTACTTATCACATTCTAACTGTATTTACTCAGACCACTGGTATACCCTACCAGATCCAATAAGAGATCGTCAAAAAAAGTGGGAAAAATAGAAAGCACTGAGAAATATTTTCATGCTCGTGGTATGAATACGCAAAGTTAATTACTTCGAATCTGCTTCATCGGAGTTTGAGGCATCGATTACTACTCCCTCCATAGGCGATGCATCTTTTTTATTGTGCTTTGTTGCATTAGGAGGAGAAGGTTTACTCTTCCTGGAAGTAATATACTTTAGGCGGTAGCTGACAAGTGAAGGTCCAAATATGCTGTATTTTCCAGCACTGCTGAAGGCTGTTTCTGCATCAGAGCTTGTGCGGAAAACCACTTTAGCACGCTTGCTCTTCTTCAGCACCTGAGTCTCCGATTCCTTTAAAGGTCCAAAATGGCTGAATATCCTGTTCAAATTTGTTTCCGAAGGAACTGCATCCAAGTCAGTGAAGTTTAGAATCAAAGCTGTTGGACATGGGGAGGAACCATCATTACACTTCCCTTCCAAGCGATCTACGGGCTTGCCTGCTCCCAAATCAAGAATTCCATCAGCAATTTGTTGTTCACAATCCAAATCGGGACCAAACTGAACAGCTGGTTGTTTTCCAAAAGTGTGAGTGCCCTCTTTGGTTGGAGTCTCCACTGGAATTTCTCCTGCTTCATTCTTATTCTCTAGTGATGATTGATCTTCAGGGTTGCTTTGAATTGTCTTGTCAGTCCAATAAGAATCTTTCATATGCTCTGAATTCGATGTTTCAGTTTCTACTTCGGTTGATAATTTTCCAATATCATCACCAGAAATATGTTCCAGGGAGGACTGTATATGCTGCTCAGAATTGAGTTGATCAATGCAAACTGAATTCCTGAATTCCACAAAGAAACTGACTACAGATTTCAGGAAGTTGTATCCCTTCGCAGGATCTCTGGCAACCAAGCAAAGCTGCGACACCAACTCATCAGGTGAAGCTGATGTGGACAAAGATAGGAATAGAGGAATCAGGGATGACAGGGAGAGAAAGAGCCAGACTAGCGAAGGGAAGGGGAAGAAAGATAGCCGATATTCAATTATCAATAATTTAGGAGAGATAATAAAGTCCGAAACAGAATAAGACCGAAAATACTACTGTATTTTATAATAGCCTAAAATGACTAGATTTTCCCATAAAGAAATACAACACAATAAGACATTCGATAATCTCTAAATTTCCCATGACAAATATCTTGAAATCATTCTCCATCAGAATCATTCTTTTTCGGAAACAGCATTTTACCTTTACATTTTCCAGAGGCAGACTTCTCCTGGCTCTTGGTCTTCACTGCGGCATTTTTAGAAGTTCCATTAACAGATTTGAGTATAGGAGTCGATCCATTCAGTTGGCTTGCAACCCTAAGGATGCTATCTCCAACTCTATACGTTTTCTTAGGCTGTGAGGAACCATTATCAACCCCTGATGAGGAAGGACTTTTGCTTTGTTTCACCATCGAGTCATCAGAAACAGAATTGACAGCCTTCCTTTTCTTAGAGGAAGATGGTGTTGTCATCTTGTCTGTAGCTTCACCATCCAAACCACCTTTACCTTTAACAGCCATCGAACGCCTTTCAGCAATAAGGTCAGCCAAACTTTTTTCTTTCTTGCTTGGATGTTCGTTATCCCCAGATATGTGCTTACGCTTACGCAAAGAGTGATCTTCACTTTTTGGTTTCTCCTTTCCCGTGGACACAGACCGATCATCTTTAACCTTGGTTGCTGTACTTTCAACCATTTCCCTGCTGAGTTTAACTTCTGCGGATAGTGGAATCTCTGCATCACCCTCTAGCAATTCCCCAAGGATTTGGAATTCAGGCAGGTGAGAATGACCCTTCCAACGATTGAATGCCAACAATTGAGATTGTGCCGTTACAAATTCCAGCAAGTCAATTCCACCTAATGGCAATTGGCCTAAGTCTTTGGCATACTCAATAAGTTTTGTGGGTTCAAAACAAGCAGCACTTGAGAAACTATCCCCACCATCCCTTCTACAAGATTCTTCCCGGATTCCAGGATTGACAATTATCTGAGTTTTTATCTTGCTATACTCAGGCATGCAAGGACAAGCTAGCCCAAACTCTACCCGTCTAGAAACCTCATCCAAAGCACAATGAACAGCATCATGAAAATCCACTAAATTGCTCTGTTTCTCCATTAGAGAGAAGTTGGATCGGAAGGGCTTTATCTTTGACACTTCATTCCAAGCAAAAGTTTGATCCCAAAAGTATGCTATTAAATAGCTATCCTTTTTAAAATACTTCTTAGCCTTCTTTGATGCATCAGTACGACCAAATACCTGCCCAGGCCACCAGGGATGGCTCCTCACTTTAGCCCACACCAGATCACCAACACTCAATCCTGCTTCGACCATTTTGGCGCTCACCTCACATGTTGCATTCCCATCTGCACCCACAGATGGCTCCAAATCCACATCAAGATTTAACTCATTAGACTCGAGGTTCTCCTTTTCCAACAAAACCCCTTCATCAAAAGCAGCAGCGACCTCATTTTCAACCTCAGAGTTCTTAGCTTGTTCATCATCGATTTCCATGGCCTGATTCTCAACCCCTTCAGAACTAACCTTCGGTGAAACAATTCCGGGTTCTTTATGAGGCAACAAGTCATTCGCATTTTTAACTTGGATTGCATCCCCACCAACTGATCTAGAACTCGCTACCCCACAATCCCCTTCCTTTGCTTCCTCCTCGATTTTACATGAACCATTTTCTTCTCCCTCGACTTTACTTGAGTGTATTTCAGTTGTTTCCGCTACTTCTCGCGCAGAGGCATCATCAACACCACTTCCAGCCACATTTCCACCTTCCAAATCAACAATTTTATCAACAGAATCCATCTTTCCCTCTCTGACTAACCCACCAACAGCAACCTCCTTCAACTCATCATCCACTTTAAAGTCCTCAACTTCATCTACAACAGGCTCCTGGTTCTGACCCTGATCATTCTCAACAGAGTCCATTAGGGTTTCAGCATCAGAAGTTAAACCCGACTCCTTCTTTACTTCAGATGCATTATTAACATCGTTTTCTGGTTCACCGGAGAGGACGACGGAGTTTAAGTCGATGTTGTCAATATTTGCAGACATTTAACAATAAGCCCTAACAATAATATAACCAAACCATTTCATTGTTAATAGAAAACCTAATGAAAAGAAATGAAAAAGAACTCAGCTTTAACACAGAAATGAACCAAAAAACAAGTTCCAAAAAAGAAACAAGTACCTTTTTGTCACTTTCTTTCAGCTCTGTTAAGCTTTCTGTTCCTGTGTAGTGACATAGAAAGAAGAGGGGAAAGAAAGAAGAAAAATCGAAGACTAAGGTGAGGGCCTGATTTTTTGTACCATGGCTGACGGTCTATTTATTATGGGTACGGCTTACTGTTTACATTTTTTTGAAACGTGGAAGAGATCTGACTGTCTGTTTTGTTAAACCTGGTTTTGTTTCTGGTGGCTAGTCATAGACTAGCAGTGAAGCTGTCGGCTTATCAGCCCTCCACGTGCAAGCCATCTGCTTATAATTGCATAGGCCCAATAAATGACCCATGACCAAAGGCCCATTTTGTTTCCCCAACTCTGTATCCCGCCAAAACGAGAGGAGAATTTTCACAAACATTTTATCGGCGGAGAACAACGGTCCGTTCTGTTACTATCCGTGCCTGATCAATCGGCGATGTACGGAAGGAATGGAGAGAGCGCGAGCAAAAAGGAGCACCACTACCACTATGCAAGCGACGACATTGTTAACATATTGGCCACATACTTCCCTTCGAACGAGTTCGCTGTCGACGAAGAGAAGCTGATGCTCACAGCTGATCTCATTCACTTCTTTAGCACTACTCCTGGTCAAGATCTCGCTTCTCAGGTCTCTATCTATCTGTTTCCTTTTAGTTAATTCATCGTTTAAATTGTATAATCGGCGTTATATTTTGTGAGATTGATCTCAAATTAGCTTTGGATTACTGAAAATAAAACCTGTTTAACCATTAATTTATTTGCAGAATTGTAGAGGATAAATAGCTCAATCTGTCTTTATATAATAGCCCGAGTCTCCAATCTTGTATTTGTTAGGTTTTTGAATATTTTTTAAGTCTCTAATTTGTCTTTTCCATCAATTTTTCCGACCACAAACAAATATTTTGACAAAAATATCATTGATTGAAAAAAAATATCAAAAGTCTATTGAAGTCTTTTGATTTTTTTTTTTTTTTTTTTTCAACACGAGGCATTTTGGTTAAAAAATTTGTTCATGGTTGGAAATATTGATCGGAATGATAGATTGAAGATTTAACTGTTGTTCAAGGACATAATAGATGCAATTAGAAATGTGAGGATAGATTGAAGACTCAGGCTATTATATAAGGCCAAATTGAGCTATTTACCCGAATTGTAGAAGACATTGTTTGACACCATTAAAGGCAGCATATAGAATAATGGTGTTACCAACTGATTAGTTAAGTGAAAAAGGGAGGTATTTGTGGATTGCAGCTATTGAAGTAATTTTTTAATGATTTGAATAGAAGGAAAATGAGGAAGAAAATCTTGCTTTTGTTTTTATTGTGAGATTCTTCGCTTGCTTTAAATGTTTGTTATCATCTATGGTAAAAGTTTGAACTTCTAGCGAGTTTTGTGTTTTAGTGATTGGATTTGGTTATAGTTTATTGGTGATGCCTCGGACACTTTTAGTGAATTTAGGAATTTGATGTTTGAATTATGTGAACAGGTAAAGGATGATAATGGAGCATACTTTTTGTCTATTGATATCCAACAATTTCGAAAAATATGTGAACTTGAAGAATTCTATGCAACTTTAGATGAGAAACCTAAAGTAGCTCTCTCGTGCATGGGTGCTGCAGTTCACAAGGTACACAGTAACAGCAGTGAATAATGCTTGAAGGTTTCTTTCTTTTTTTTGGTTCAAGGAAATTTATTAGTTAATTGAAATAGGTCTTTTTGAGCAAATGCGGGAACAGCTTGTTGGATGATGGCATGAAGATAAACATACGTCTTCACAACTATCCTGAATCGATGATTGCTTTGAAGAACCTAAAAGCAGCATATATTGGTAAGTTTAATTTTATGCGTGCTTTTTTCTTTCCTTTTGTCTCAAGACCTGGTTGAGGACTTATATGAATGGCATATCATTCGGTGAAATAACAGACAAGCTTGTATCTGTTCGGGGGAGTGTGGTTAAAGTTAGCACTGTAAGGCCACTTGTGGTTCAAATGAATTTCGACTGTGCAAAGTGCAAATCCAGCATTTTACGTGTATTTCCTGATGGAAAATTCTCACCACCAACCGTTTGCTCTTTAACTGGGTGCAAGAGCAGAACTTTCACCCCAATTAGATCTTCTGCTCAAGCCATAGATTTTCAGAAAATAAGGTAAGCACTTAGATGTGAATCATACTTCAATTTGTCCCATGAACGATTTCCTTAGTTCCCTTAAAATGAAGAATTTGCCACTATCTTTTATTTTATTTTATTTTATTTTCTGTTGTTGTTCTACTCCTTAAAACCTGTGGGCTTCATCAGGCTACAGGAATTACTAAGATCCGAAGATCATGAAGAAGGGCGGGTGCCGCGAACAGTGGAATGCGAATTGACTGAAGATCTTGTTGATGCATGTATCCCTGGAGATGTGGTGACTGTCACTGGGATTATAAGAACAATCAATAACTATGTGGATATAGGAGGAGGTGTGATTAAAGGATTTTTTTGACACTCGTATGCCATTGTATTCCATCTTTATACATGGAATTGTGCATGATCAATGTTGATACTTTGTGGTTAATGTATCTTCTTGTGCACCAAAACCATCTTATTTGCATTATATCACAACAAAAAACTTGCCATTAGGATGCCCGAAAAACAATTTATGTTGAAATTTTTAGGATCATAACGTCTCTGAAGATATGTGCTGGCAGAACGCATAAAGATCTGTGAATTGAGCTTAGAAGACTGGTTGACCATTCAATTTATGCTGCAGAATTACTTTGTTTTATAGTATTCATTCATGTGTTCGTAATTCTTTATGATGGATGCTTGAGTATTTAACTCTAGTACATTTAACTGAAACTATTTCCAGTTGCTAATATAGCCTTCTGCAAACCTTACTACTTTCAGGAAAATCAAAAACCAAAAATCAAGGATTTTATTATTTGTATCTAGAAGTGGTCTCTATAAAGAATTCCAAGTTGCAATCTACATCTGACAATTTGCAAGATTCCAAATGTAATGCTAGAGCTACAGAGCTGTCTGATCTGTTCTCATTCTCTCCACGGGATTTGGAATTTATTGTGAAGTTCTCAGAAGAACATGGCTCAGATATCTTTAGGCAAATACTTCAGTCAATATGTCCATCTATCTATGGACATGAGCTTGTCAAAGGTATTTCAAACCTTTTGTGTTAAAGAGACTCCCTAACTTTTTCTGGTTAACTTCCCCAGTATCTCCAGCATCTTTTTACATTTTTTGGGGAAATGTAGAATGTGCTGTGTGACGGTCTTCACTCCTGTTTCCCAATCCTTGTGCTTTTGCTGGAAAAATAAAAAAAACTTTCTAAATCACCACTAAATTTTCCGATATTTAATATTTCAGATTAAGCCTCTGATATTCCACCGTTCCTATTCACCAATACTAGTTCTTATCAATGATATCTTTTTTGTGAAATCTGTGGTCGAGTTTTGAATAATGCAATTCCTTGCAGCTTCTGAGTGTGAACCCACTGGTTTCCTCAGGTAGTGAATTGATTGGTTCCTTTCTGATCATTGTATTTATTATTATTATTTTTTTTAAAGTTATGGTTTACACTCTAATATCTTGTTTCCTTAAACAGCGGGGATAACATTAGCATTGTTTGGAGGTGTGAGGAAGCATTCAATGGATCCGAATAAGGTCCCTGTCAGAGGAGACATCCATGTTATAATTGTTGGTATGCTTATAATTGTACCAAAGCAAGATAATTATGTAAATTTATATCAGTTTATATTAACGGAACTTATTCTTTAGAGTTTAAAGTTTAAACAAAGTCTAGATTATAAAGCAAAACATATTTTGTTTTTAACCAATTGGTGTATGCATAAGAAGAGAAGATGCACTTGACAATCATTAATTCTCATTTTTAGGTGATCCTGGACTAGGCAAGAGTCAATTACTGCAAGCAGCAGCTGCTATTTGTCCACGTGGCATTTATGTATGTGGCAATGCTACAACTAATGCTGGCCTCACTGTAGCTGTAGTCAAGGATGCCAAGACAAGTGACTATGCGTTTGAGGCTGGTAGTTGATTGCTTCTTAACTTATCTTATTTTAATGTATTGATTACCTAATTTGCAGCTCTATGATTGTGAAAAATCTATGATTTACTTATAAGCTGGATCATGATTTACCACTGAAATCTGACAACGTGCTGTTGTGCTTGAGAGGATTTAAAGAACAACGATTTCTAGAAGGACTTATATTTCTTTTTTGCACTGTTTGGTATTCATATAAGTAAGAGGTTCATTTCTCATTTAGATACTTCTTGGCTGCTATATTGTACAGTCTTTTATCTTTCTGTTCTCACACAGGCTACCTGTATATTTATATAAAATGAGACATAGGATCTAACTTTATATGGTTTGAAATGGTATTGACCTACATAGTGTTGGCTGTGAGATGCAGTGGGGTGTATAAGGCACATTGGGTTTGTTTGACTGAAAAGATGGGATGGAGAAGGATGGATATGGTATAGTGGGAGGATTGAGAGGAGAAAGAATGGATGTTAGCTCATCCATCGAGTTGTTTGGCTAACAAGAATGGGCAAATGGAAGCCAATCTTCCCAAATGGGACAGATTGTAAATTTCAAATGAGGAAGGAAGGATCTTTCCTTTCCTTCCTTCGGTCTCTATCCGTGGTGCCAAAAAAGAATTTGTCTCATCCATCGTCCCTACTGTCCCTCCTAGCAAACAAAAACTTGGTGATTATGAAAAAATTGATTGAAGAGCGACTTCTCTTTAAATTGTCTGCTTTGCATTTGAAATTTGTTATATCCTATAATCCAAAATATTTAGTCTTTTCTTATTTAGAAAGGACAGCAATATATGGCTTCAGTGCTATACCAAAGAATCACAGCTATTATATATGTGGTTTAAAATATGGAGGAACCCTTAAATACTCAAAATATCCAAGTATTAGGAAGTTCCTTATAATGCATTGCAATGAAAGGAATGCTATTATTGTGTTTACAATTGAACCATGAAGCTAAACGTGGGAAGGCAGTAATTCATACAAAGAATTATGAGTTTCTTTGTGTCTGCCTTGTTCACATATTAGGCATGCATGGTGCTCGAGACTTCTTCACTGTCTTTGCTGTTAGTTAATATTCAATTGGCAATTCACAAAACAATTATATCTTCAAATAGGGGCAATGGTGCTTGCAGACAGTGGACTCTGTTGTATTGATGAATTTGATAAAATGTCTGCAGAACATCAGGTTTGTCCTGACCGCTTACTAAATTCGGGTTTTGATCACATTGATCTCAAAGACTAGGTTAGACTTACATTGTGTTTGCCATTTTACCACAGGCTCTTCTAGAAGCAATGGAGCAGCAATGTGTCTCTGTTGCAAAGGCTGGCCTCCTTGCAAGTTTATCAGCACGGACTTCCGTTTTAGCAGCTGCGAATCCTGTTGGTGGTCATTATAAGTAATACTTTCTAGGTTTTCATCCATGTTAATTCTTTGTTGTAAAAACTGTCTGGATAATAATAACTATAAGGTGTTTTTTCTCTGGACCATGCGTCTTTAGGTGAAAAATTAAGAAAATGTTCTTCGATATGGTGAAAATTTGACACCACAAAGAAAAGGCATTTTCCATTCTTAATACATCCCTAGATTTGTAATCTAGCAGGATCGTAATCATACAAGATGCCTACATAGTATAGCTTTCTCACATGGATATGTTGATGACATCTGAAATCTATATTGCAGCCGTGCAAAAACAGTGAATGAGAACTTGAAAATGAGTGCTGCTCTTCTCTCACGATTTGATTTGGTTTTCATACTACTTGACAAACCTGATGAAGTACTGGATAAACGAGTCTCAGATCACATCATATCAGTAAGTTATCCTGTCTAGCATACAGTATGGCGTTCTTTTGCATTGAAAACATGCTATGGCATTCAAGGTGAATCTGTTCTGTATCATAAAAAGTTGTAGTCAATGGACCATCTGTTGTCGGCTACTCTCTGTCTGAGAACACATGCCAGGGAGATGAGATCAGTTTTAAAGAAATTTTGACATGAGACATGTTAGAAATAAGCATATGTTTTTATTTTCAACACATTGGATGTTTTGCTTTTACTCTTTCAGCATTTTAATCACTGCATAAGATAGTATACTGTTGGCATGTAATTAGATTGTTTTTCAAGTAATGGAAAATATTGCTAGTTTTGATAGCCTCCAGGACCCGAATGAAGAGGATAATCTTTGAGTTTGTATGCATTTAATGATACTCAAAAGTGTCTCTCTTGCAGCTTCACGCTGGATATGGAGAACATTCACCAGCAGCGAAAAAGTTACGAACAGGTAGCCTTCCTATTTCGTTTTCTCCTTATTTCATCTGGTGGGGGTTGCTTAGTAAGTTAGGGCTTCTGCCCTCTGATGAATCTTTTTTACCGAAGTGGAGTTTTCTATTTTGACTAGTTATGCCTTCTTTTCTCCTTGTTTCATTTGGTGGGGGTTGCTTAGTAAGTTAGGGCTTCTGTCCTCTGATGAATCTTTTTTACCGAAGTGGAGTTTTCTATTTTGACAAGTTATGTCTTCTGATCATGCGAAAATTCAGCATCACTCAATGGAGGCATAGATATGAGTGTAAGAAATGGATCTTTGGTTTCACGGTTGAGACTGGACCCAAAGAAGGATGTTGATTTTGCTCCACTGCCTGGTCCACTTCTTCGCAAATATATTGCTTATGCTAGAACTTACGTCTTTCCTAGGTGATTTTTTGTAATCTAAAAACTGAGAGATTTGATATAATTTCTATTTTGCAACTACAAATGCAAATTATTTAATTTTCCTGGTATAGGATGTCAAAACCAGCAGCAGAAATACTACAGAAGTTCTACTTGCAGCTTAGGGACCATAATACATCAGCTGATTGCACACCAATAACAGCAAGGCAACTGGAAAGTTTGGTGAGGCTGGCTGAAGCTCGAGCTCGGCTAGAATTGAGAGAAGAAGTAACAGGCCAAGATGCAATGGTCAGTCCTATTGATTGATATTGCCAGTACTTTTTTAATGCCTTTTTCTAGTAGAGTTCGAACTTTAAACGAGCGAACTTTAAACCATCCATCAAGATTTATGCACTCAACCATTACTCGGTTTGTTTTAAGATTAGAACAATCAAAGTTTTTAGTCGTAACTATTTCATGAATTTGGATCGATTTTTCATTTTTGGCATATGCCTTGCAGGACGTGGTTGAAATAATGAAAGAATCCCTATATGATAAATATGTTGATGAGCATGGCTTTGTAGATTTTGGTCGAAGTGGGGGAATGAGTCAACAGAAAGAAGCAAAACGGTTTCTAAGTGCCCTCAATAGGCAGTCAGAGTTGCAGCAAAAAGATACCTTTTCAATTTCCGTATGGACAATTGCTTTGTCTGCCATTTCTAATAATGATTTCTGTCTCGTAAAAGTCATTCAAATATTATTAGTTTGTATTTCAGGAAATATACAGTGTAGCAGACAGGATGGGCCTAAGAGTTCCAGACATCGACACGTTTGTTGATAACTTAAACAGTGTTGGTTATCTACTCAAGAAGGGACCCAAGACATTCCAGGTACTATAATGTGAAAGTTCTGATGAACCAGAATCCCAATAACTTGGTGATAGTCAGAACTTAGATGGTTCCACCCGCATACATAAGCAAAAACACCATTTGCAGTTCTGTTCCCAATAACCAAAGTAAAAAGGGATGTGAACCCTAACAATTCTGTTCACTATTTTGCTGCATGAATGGGTACTTGCTAAAGCACCACAACATTGATATATTACCTTAAGCATATGTTAGTGTCCGTAAGAAATGAACCTACTTATTAGCCATCATATTTGTGCAGGTGCTAACGTCTTCTTACTCCCGGAGTCAGTCATCAAGGGGCTAAGTTTCTTAAAGAAACTGGACAAATTTTGTTTTATTACTGGAACTGAAAGTTTTCTTTATTACTCTACCACATAGCGGAGGGAGATCATCGTCAAATTCACTTGGAGCCTACCATACAACCAACCAACCAACCAGGAGCTCATGCAATCATGTATAGTGAAAGCTCGAAACTCTACAATTGTGGATATGTAAAAGAATGCTATCTTATTACACTTGATATTTTTAAGGTGAATCAATTGCAGTCTAGGTTTGAAAGCAAGGAAGCCTAAATTCCTTTCTCTGAACAGATCTGAATGTAGCTAATGTCTAAAGATTCATGTGAGGAGGATGTGTTTTAGTTCAGTACATTAATCCAATGATAATAACATCTGAATTCACGTTTTATCATACACAGATCTATTCTATAAATGTTTTTTTTTTCTTTTTTTTTTTTTCTGTCTTCTGGTTCCCTTTTGTGGGGCTTCCATCTCAATAACATAGTATACAGTCAAATACAGTGTGGTTAAACTGAATCTGGAGATTAATAATCCGGATCTACTGGTTCTAACCTCCACTCACTGCCATAATAAGAATTGGGCAAACCCAACCAAAACTTGAAAGCCTCGGCTGCTCTCTTCCTCTCTTTTCTTCTATCCTGCCTGGCCTGTGATGCATGTTTACTAGTAAACATCCTTGAATGCATCTCTACATAAATCTTCTTAAACTTAGTCTTGTTAGGTGGTATCCCATTTTCTTCCATGCAAGCCACAATTTCTAAGGCCTTCTGGAAGAAAGCAGCCCTCACACAGATATCAGCGAGTGTCCCCAACAGCTCTTCATCGGGTTTCAACGGTGGGGGAGAAGAATCAGATTCAAAACTCTCTCCTTCCTTTTTCACCTCCCACCTTTCCTTAACTTCTTTCCAGAGCAGAAGTGCCTCTCCTGGTTTTCTTGCCAATGATATGCCATTTGCAAGACTGCCATATGTTGACACATCAGGATGGAAACCATTCTCTTTCATTCTCTGGATTACTTTCTTTGCTGCCTCAACCAATCCCAATCTACAATATCCTTCAACCAACATATTCCAAGCAATCAAATCAGCTTTCACTCGTGGGTCTTTAAACATCTCATCAAAAACCTTGTTAGCCAACTTTGGTTGACCTGACAAAGCAAAAGCTTTCATCAAAGTAGTGTAGCTGATCTTGGTGGGCATAATTCCCTTGGCTCGCATCTCATTAAAAAATGCAAGAGCCCCTGCACTATCATCAACCAGTATACACCCGTCAATCAAAGTATTATATGAAACCACATCAGGCTCAATATTCACATCATCAGCCATCTCTTTAAGCAGCTCCTTCGCTTTATCTATCTGCAGCTGGTCGCAATAACCTTTGAGCAGAATATTGTAAGTAATCCTATTTGCTGGCACACCAATTCTCCTCATCTCAGAAAGCACTTGACGAGCACGATCCATAGAACCTACCTTTGCAAGAGCAGAAACAACTGTTGTATACGTAACGTGATCAGGCTGACCTTTGCTAGCGTCTTGATGCCTCATTGCTTCCAGCATTCTAACAGTATCGGTCACACGACCTTGCTTCATATAACCCTTCATCAAAGTCGTGTATATTCTCGAGTCAGGAGCAAACATTTTCTGCAACAATGGTGGCTCACTATTACTAACTTCAACCAAATTCGGAAGCAATTTGTCAAACACATTTACCCCATTTTGACTTGAATTCAAAATCTCATTCTCCTCGTCTTCATTAAAGTCCTCCAAATTCGCCTCCCTGAGTATCTTACACAAATCTCTCCTTCCTTCCCTCATTGATTGAACCATTCTCTCCACAGTTTCCAAATCACCAAACCCAACATATGCCGCAACAAGCGAATGCAATGTAGTCATACATAAAGGAATTCCTTTCTCAATCACCCTCTCCAAAACAAACACAAGCAAATCTTTCCTATTACACCTCGCACATAATTTAATCATAATATTATATGTCAATATATCAGGCTCTAAACCAAAATCAGACATTTCCTCAAACAACTTCAAAAACATTTTACCGTCTCCCAAATTAGCACAAGCATTAAGCACGTTATTGAAAGCTGCTGTGTCTGGTCTCGAATCAGCCACCATTGCTACGTCAGAGAACCGACGCACACGGCGCGTAATTGAGTTAAAAAGCTTAAGGGCTTGTGTGGGGCCATCATCCGGGGCGGAAGCGAGGCGGCTGAGGACGGCAGACCAGGCCTTGACGTGGGGGAGGTAGCCAGAGCGGAGCATGGAGTTGATAACGGAGACAGCGTACGAGAGTTGTCCGGATTTGGTAGCAGAGACAGCAAGAAGACCAAGGGAATTGGCATCGAGGCGGTGGAGTTGGCGTTCATGGCGGAGGCGCGTGAGGATGGACTGGGCGCGCCTGAGGCTGAGAGGGGTGTTTTGGTAGGAAAGCTGAGAGACTAGACGGCTAAGGCAAGTGGGTGGTGGAAGGTGAGGTATTTGGGCATAGAGAATCCACGCGTCTTCCGTTTTTCTTTGGCGAAGGAGTGATAAGAGGGTTTGGTCATTGTTGGTTGAGGTGGTAGAGGTGGTGAGAGAGAGACCTTTTGTTGTGGGGCTGATTTGGTTGGTGGCTGCGTGTAGGCGAAATAGGCGGGTGAGTTGGGAATTTGTGGTGGTGGAGGAGAGTGGCGGAGAGGGGCAGTGGAGAGTGAGAGTGTGGATGAGAGGGAAGGGATTAGTGGGTGGAGATGAAGGAGAGCATGGAGTGGATGAGGGCAGAGGTAAGTTCATGGCTAGTGATAGCCCATTTGAAAGAAGACAGGGAAGGAGGGAAGGGAGATTAGTTTGAAGAGAGAGAGGTGAGAGGATACAGAAGCAGAGAGGGAAGGATAGTTTCAGGCTGGTTTTGGGTGGAAGTAGGATGTCCTACGTTGAGTATGCTCTAACCTTAAGTTTGTCTCCACATAAACGAGTAAATTATAAATTCGTCCCTTTAGTTTTTACACAATGAATTAAATAGTTTATCTAATTTATAAAACTAATTAATTATTTTTTTATCTAATTTATTTTTATAAGAAAAATAAGTATTGAAATAAGAAGTAAATAATACAAAAAATTGATGAAAAATAAAATATTTTTTAATGTAATAATATTAAATTAAGTATGGTCAATATTAGAAACTAATGATTATTTTTTTAAAATCAAAAGAATTATTTTATTCATTTTTGTAAAAATAGAGGAATTAAGTGGGAATCTTTCCCAAGCTTAGGACTTTGATCAATGGGCACCTCAACCTCAATCTAGGTTTTTCTTCTTCCTTTTTTTTTTTTAAAAAAAAAATTAAATACATTCTTTAGTTTCAATAACGAATTAATTCTTTAGTTTATAATTAATTCGTTTCTATATTTTTTAAACTATTTGTAACTTAGTTATTTTTATTTTTTAATTTATTTTGTTTTTTGTTCTAGTAAATAAAAAAAATATGAAATAATTAACAAAAAATATTTTTTTAAAATAAAATAATATTAAAATAATTATAATCAACACTAGACTAATCAGTTAGTTTTTAAAATAAAAATTATTTTATTTATTTTATTAAACTAGAAGGATTAATTTAATAATTTACTCACTAGTCAGTTGTCCCTGACTTGTGCTATTGTTTTTAGGACCATTCTTCACCTGCTCATAATTTATTTTTTAAAACCAAATTCTTTTCTATATATATATATATATATATATAGCAATTGATACAAAAGAACTTCAAGTCATTACTAAAATCTTTGAAGAGAGAAAACTTGGAGAAAAGTTTTTAACCAAAAAGTTTGAATTAAAATTTAACTAGAAGTATCTAACCACCTTTGAATTTTAAGTCATTTGAGATTAAATCTTTAAATTTTTTTTATTACTTTTAAAAATTCTTGAATTTTTATTTTTTTCAGATTTAATTCATCTGTCAGTTCTTTGTCATTTATTTCAAAAAAAAAAAAAAAAGCAATCACATGAGTAATTTCATAAAGAAAATCATTTAGTGAGATTTATATGAAGCTCCTCATAAAATTTAAAATCATTTTGCAGTTATTTTCTATTATTTCAGATTTTCTATATTTTTAATGTTCAAAAAATAATATATATATATATATATATATATATATATATAGTTTTTTATTTTGAAAATTTTTGAATTTTTTTTCTACAGAATGGATCAAATTTTTTCAAGATGCGTGCAAAATTTGAACGTAAAATATCAAGAATTGAATTTTTTTTTAAAAAAAATGATAGCTAAAAAATCACCAAATGGACTAAATCTGAAAAAAAAAAAAAAAAGTTCAAAAATCTCTAAAATTAATAACAATTTCAAATACTCAACTTTAAATGACTTAAAATTATTTGGCTTTGAAATTTTATATATATATATATATATATATATATATTTTTTTTAATTAATATGCATCATGGAAGAAAAAAGGGAAGCTATTTGATTCTTATCCAAATCAAGGTCATGTAAGTTGCTTAAAAACTTGTGATTTGAATATTTGGATGACATGTTCAAGAGAAAACTCTCACAAATGTTCGAGAGAAAATAAAATTTGATAAATGATTGAACGTCACATTTTAAAATATATATTACTATCATATCATAATATTTTATTTTATTTTTTTATCTAAAAAAGTTCTTTATTCAAATAAAATTTATTTTTATTTCAAGGATCTACTAGCTTTTAGTATAATAGTAGCACTATTAACATTATGTTATTTACGAATCATTTTTACTTTAAAATATTATTTATGAATCATTTAATTTTAAAGAGCTTTTTTTAATGAATATGAAATGAATAGAAATTAACAACACATGCATGAATAAAAGTACGAATTCTTTTTCATTGGATAGAACCTTTTTTTTTTAAATAAAATAAAAATATATATTAGCAAAGTAGAAATAATACAAATTCACGAATCTTTTCAAGGAGTAAAAAGCAATATAGATCAAAGACAAAAAAATCTTCTATAAAAAATAAAAATAAAAATAAAGATTCAATTTAATAATTTAAAGAATTTTGATGTGATTTACTACTTTAAAATTTTCTTGTTGGTTGGTTTTGAAACACTTTTATAGTTTTAATAATTTAATGCATTATATACATTGGGAGTGATTTAAAATTTTTATTTATGTTCTTTAAAATTTATGTGGTGTACAAATAGGAAAATATTTTAAAAGATCACTGAATTCTTAAACAATAGATTAATCTTGTTTTTGAATTAAACGAGCTCATGCAATCTTGGCCATTTTCTTCCTTTCATTCTTCAAAAAACTTTTAACCATTTTCATCGCTTTATTCAGTCGAAGACTATGAAAACGTCAATCCACTATTTGCAAATCCAAAACCAATTGGCTGACAAGGACAAATTGAATGAAGAAAGCAGCAGCAGCAGAAAATCACACATGCTTTTGTAAACTAGATATTTTAATAAAATTAGCATTTATCACAGGTTACCTATCTCAAAACACCATTCTTCAATGGCCAAAAGATGGTTAAAAGACAGTTCAGTGCACCAGGAAGAGTTACCTAAATCTATGATAAAGCCCTCTCTGTACAGTGATTTGTGCATGAAACGTTGGAAAGCCGGGCAGCCCATCCATTGGACATCCTTTTTCTGTAACTTTCTGTACAACTTTCCCAACTTTCAGTAGATCAACTAACGTGTTTCAATTTATGTACACATCCCACCAAAATGCAGTCTGCAAATAGAAGAGCTTCCTCGTCCCACAGCAATCAGCTCCCATTCCTCCAACCCATCATTTTCCACCACCATCTATCACCACTCACCAGCACTCATTCTTTTATCTACACAAAAGCACCTAGGCTAATAATTACAAATTCACAATTTATGTACCAGTGAAGCTACGAAAGGTGGAATGAGCCTTGACCCTCTGTTATGGCATACAAAAGTTTCTCTTTCATCTTATCCTGCAAAAATAAGAGCATAAAAAATTTGTATATGCATAGTTCACAGACAAGTTAGAAACACATGCTACTTGGGCAATAAATGTTACTTTCGACGAGTAAGGTGGCAACTTCAGATAATTGGCACAAGTCATCACACTGGGAAGGTCCACATCTGCACAGTTGCTACAATGCTGTAGAGAGCACCAAGAGGATAAGTGACCAAATAATGACTATAATTTATGAAAGGGAGGGTGTATCAGTGTCACAAACCTTCCGGACAATGGTCAATTTTGGATTCAGAGATGCCAAGCCTCCTGTAGGTAGCCGAGGTGCGCCAGTCACAAACTGTAGAAACGATCGTCGTTGTTCGTATCCAAATTCTTTTATGATTTCCAGTAACTGCAATTCCATAGCAAGTGAGTAATATTTTAAGAGAGAGAGAGAGAGAGAGGAGATAGAGAGAGAGAGCACCAACATTAACAACAGGAGGACTGCTGGCGGTGTATCCATGATCAAACTTGATATGATCCAAAAGCTCATTGAACTGCTCCAGAGTAAATGATAAATAGACAAATAAAAATCATATCAGCATTATTATCAGAACATTCCTCAGCAAAAGACTAGATCAATCAAGTGTTAAAAATACGTACAGCCCAAAAATCACGTTCTCCACATAGCAAACGCTCAAGTTCCTCCTCGGTGAAAATCATAAGATGTTTAATAGGAAAAACCTGGAAAATTAAAGTACAAAAAAAAAAAAAAAAAAAAAGGTCAGTAATCGATAAACAAAATAAAATGAAATTGAAATCATACATTGGACAATCATAGCAACTGCAAGAGATGAGGATTAAGAGAATCAGAATAAGATTTGCAACATCATAAGAGGGAAAAAAAACATCATCTTGGCATAAAAAGGGTTCACATAAAATTATCATTCTGTGATTAAAACTATAGTGACTAAAAGGAAGCCAAAAGATTGAGACTATAATCTGGCCCCCAAAGATTGCCGAGTTCCCCTTAAAATCTCCTAGTGGAAAGAAAAGCTAGAAACACCATTCTGAATTCTTATTTCAGATTATTCCAGGGACAATACGTGCTGTACTCCAAGGGGTAACAGATAAAAGAATCAAAACACCATTCTCTTCAGGGAAACCTCTCATTATTCTCGAGGAGTTGTTGACTTCAACAACAAACATAATGCATGGAAGAACAGACCTGGTTAAATCCAGACTTGAATGCTTCAACTTGTCTGGAAATTCCTGTGTGTATAGTACCATCTACAACGCGAGAAACATACGCATCCAAGTTACCCATATTCACCTATGTCCATAACATGAGTGAAGTGTTATAATTTTGCACCTAATGCATTATATCTGAGGAAAAATATGAGATCATATTGAGGAATGCCTTACAATTTTGTGATCTTCATCAAAACTAAGAACATAATCAGGATACCCAGGAAGAGTAAAGTCAAGATAGAGATCCTCGATTCTGGTGTTCCAAAAGCATGCATCTATAGTAGAAGATGAGTTTTCTCCAAAGGCTGATCCCATATTATTTTTCCTATTGACAAGAGCCTGGAACTCCAGTAATGTCCTACCAAGCTCAGGATCAAACGACTGGATGTCATACAAATTAAGTTCCTACACCCCCAAAGAGATCAAATTAGTCAGTACCGGGTAGCATTCAGAGTCAATGATTAATGAGAAGCTTTCAAGGAAGCCATTGACTCAAGTCCACAATCAAGGAATACCTGCTGAAGAATAAGCTTATAGAAGGCTTTGGAGAATGGTAGATCCAGCACCCTCCCATCTTGAAGAGCCTTCGCTACAATTTGTCCCATAAGGAAAAACTTTTTAATAACTTCAGAAAACTGTACCCCATCAGATGCATCCACTGTAGATGACCATGGGCGAGGAAAAAGTCCAAATGGAGACTTCACAATGCTAGAGTACTCAGCCTGCAAGCTCTCACTGGTGATAAATGAAACATGATCCTGCCTCCACATGCCAAGGCCAGACTTCTGAAACTCATGACTAACCAGAGTATAAAATTCCAATGTTGGACCAAGGCCAGTACCGACTTCTTCATTATATATCACTTCAATAGGTACTTTAACTTGAGCATAACTGTCCATCATCTGGGCAGCAGACTCAAGAACTTGGTCACGCAAAACTAGGAATTTCTTACGGGACAAACTGCCAGCACTTGGTAGCCTGTCCCTTGAGACACCTGAGTTATTATGTGATGATGGTTGTGGTTGAACTTGCTGACGGCCAAATGCTGACAACCGGAAATATTTACATCTAGCCTCAAAGCTAAACAAAAAGGAGCATGAATCCATGAGCTGATTGCACCATGCAGGCATGCCACCTATGGACACAGCCAGAGAATCCCGCATCTGTTGCTCCAATTTCTCTGTCAACTTACTGCTCACAAATTCATTATGTGACACTGGGCAAACTGCTACCTTTAAATTACCCAAATTATCAATCAGCCCTTGAGCAAATGCATGGATTCTTTCATGAGACATCAGATGAAATGTAAACCTGTTTAAACCTTCTAAGCTTTTAAGCAGAAACAATATATCTTTAGTAGGACTAGACTTATCCAGGTCAGAAGTGAGTTCACAATTAAACAAGCTTGAGAAAAACGCAGGATGCTGCATATAAGCCCCAACTTTATCTAACATAGAGGAATTATGAGCCAAACTAGGATGATTGTGAGGATCATCATCTTTAGGGTCCACATCTATTCCATAAGTCAAGGTGTGTACTTGAGTCCACAGCTTTGCGGTGCTGTTAATTTCATGGTCTGCTTTAACTTTTTGCTGGAGAATTGCCTGGTAAAGAGTCAAAGTTCGGTCCAGCTGCTGCCCTTCCAGGTAAAATACCAGTTTTGGCAGGGCATCTCCAACGCTACAGGATGCAGGACAATGACTTTTTGTAGTGACATCAGCACAAGAAGGAGACTGCACTATATCCTCTGCTGAGACCTGGAATATAAGTGGTCATACAATGAGAGGACCAGCAAACTGTCTTTGAGCTAATAACAAAACCAGACCTTGAATTAAGTAAAAAGCAGGCCATAAGCAAGTTGAAACGGCGGTAGTACAAAAACAATCAAATTGAGCAGCTTACATTTCATTTTTAAATTGACAACATAAAACATCATAACATATTTATATGTACAGAAATCACCAGGAAAATCAGGATCAGCATACACAACCACAACCAATCAGTAGAGATAACCCTGCTTTTACCTGAGTTATGTGAATTTTATATCACCTGATAACACATTTACTTGCAAAGGAAAATTTTACTTACATTAAGAGTGTTGAAACGGCAGTAGTACAAAAACAATCAAATTGAGCAGCTTACATTTCATTTTAAATTGACAACATAAAACATCATAACATATTTATATGTACAGAAATCACCAGGAAAATCAGGATCAGCATACACAACCACAACCAATCAGTAGAGATAACCCTGCTTTTACCTGAGTTATGTGTATATCACCTGATAACACATTTACTTGCAAAGGAAAATTTTACTTACATTAAGAGTGTTATTTGAAGATGTTGTTTCATCAGGATTTCTCTGTATCAAATTTACATCTGGTTCTGGTGGAGACTGTGATAGGTTAGCTTCATCTTCCTGGAAAAGCAAATGAAATGATGCTCAAAAGATTTCTCCAAATCCACATAAACAAATAACAAAGCAGGGAAAGAAACTGATCCAGAGGACTCATTTATTCAAAAGACAACTAATTAACCACTAGATAATAACCTGCATTACAGGTAAATCAGTAGCAATGCTATCAGGCTCCATAAGTCCTGAACTTTCCCCTTGACTGGAGTTTGCAGTTGATGCTGATTTGAACTGTACATTTTCTGCTGGCTCCACATCTTCCAGATCTTCCATAGCTTGAGCAGCTGATTCTATTTGCTCAGTTCCTTTTATTCTAACTTTAGGCGATAAAAACCCTTCAATTGCATCCACAGAAGAAAGAGGATCTACTGTCACAACATCTTCAGAGTAGTTGCAGAGGCATGTCTCACCCTCTCCCCTAACGAAATGAACTCTTAGGCATGGATAAGATGTGCAACGTCCAGTAGGAATGATTGCAAATGAGGATCTTTGCTTCGAGGCATGGCTCAAAATAACAGGGAAATTTTCCAGAGAAGATAGTGCACATTGCAATTTCTGTATCAAAACTGATAAAGGAGACTCTTCGGATAGGTCTGAAGAAGATAAAAGCAGCCTTGCAAACACCTCAAATCTTTTCTCTACAATGTCGCAATCGTCCAATGTACCTTCAGGCTCCAACTTTTCTCTCAGATATTTGCCATTGGATAAGTAATTCACTAATATCTTCACAATCCCACTTTCAATAAATTCAAAAGTAGACACAGGTTCTCTTCCAACAAGCTTTTCCATGATTTGACGCAATACACAATAAAACTTCTCTTCATCCTTGGTGCAAGAGTCAATGTTGTGAGGCATATTCATCAAATCACTCAATTCATCAGAAAGAGCTCTAAGCTTTTGAAGAATATCTGTCAATCCTTTCTCAGAGTCACATAGTTCTGAAGCAAAGTAACTAGTTCTGATATGCTTTGCAAGATTTTGAACACTGTCCTTTTCAAGCTTGCATGTTCCTGATTCTGTGGCTGAAAGAGACTGACCAGTATCAAAAGCATAACATAAACATCTCATGACTACTTTTGACGAAGACTTTTGACTAGAATCAAATGGCAGCTGGATGCCATTGCACACTGGGAACATCAATTGCGAACATTTTTCTGGCATGAGAAGGGCATCAATGGCAAAAAATACACCTTCCTTGATGAAAGAGTTCACAAAAACATCTGGAAGCTTTTGGAGAATTGTCTCAGCAATTTGAAGGGCTAACATCAGCACATGGTGATCCTTACGAGTAAGGACTCCAGCCAAAAAACTGCCAAATAATCTAAGGTGAGTTATTAGCTAAAACGAAAGAGGATTAAGATTTGCTAATTAGATGTGAGAAAACTCGCTTCACCTTGGAAGGTTTGCATTGTTAAGCAATTCAAGAAGCATGTCAGATTTGCTGAGATAAACTAACTTGTTGATAACAAGCAAGCAGCCATAGCAAACATATAGATTTGCGCCAGAATTAACAACCTGTTGTGATGGTTGAAGGAAACATTATAAAGGTACGCAACAACATTCAAAGAGCCAATAAATGCTATGCATCCGATGTCAAACCTGAATCAACGAAGGAATTATATCCAATCCAAACTTCCGCAAGAGATCAGAGTGATTAGCCAAAAATGTCTCTTTATCCAACACAAGTTGTTCAAAATCTTGATCTCTTGCTACAGTAGGGAGAAGCTCATTTAGCAACTTTAGCACTTCATGCACCTAAGGCAAAAAATAGAATGATGATGTTCACACTCTTTCCATTGAGAAACGACCAACAATGATGCAGCAGCGGTGACAATGGAAATTACAGGTCAGCATGAACTGAGAAAGGAGCCACTATTGACATAAAGATAAATATCTCCTAGCATCTCAGATCTAATTCTCTCGGAAACTCTTGATAGGGTCCAAGTACAGTACAGCAGAAGAACAAAAAATTCCCTCAAGATCAGCTGTTCTAAATTTGTACCAAAAATGATTAAGCTACCAATAGAAAACATAATCTTTCTTTCATAAAATCTTTTAACATAAATCGTTCCCAAAGAGCTTAACATTCACAAGTATCATGGTGAACCCTTTTAATCTTTCAGTAATTTTCACTTCGAACCCAATTCAACTGGGAAACAAAAATACAAATGCTTCAATTTGTTCGTCCAAATGACATAAATTACTTTTTCCAAAAAGGAAGTAGAAAGTTGCACAGTTAAAGATGCAAACCTGGTTACCCTGCCCATCAACCACGTGAGGAGAAGACATTCCATGCGAGAGGTCATAAGTAGCTAATATGTCCTTCAAAATGCTGCTTATATTCAGCTCATACAGGGTCCTGAAAGCGACAATTGAACCAGAAGAAAGTTTGACCAGAAGCCCAATCAAACCCTGCAAAACAAAATGGAAAGGAAGAGACAATTATTTGAAGACAATAAAATATGAAGATTTATCCTAAATAGTGGCATTTGGATAAACATCCATACATTGTATATCGGCTGAGATAGAGTTGTTCGGCTGTTCAATTGCACTAGATGAGTTGCTTGATTAATTAGTCCATGCTTGCAAAGTTCATCCAGCATCTCTGACGACTGACTGACTCGTTCTGCTATTTTGATCAAGCAAATAGCTACATTTTCGACAAGCTGAAAATGAATATGAGAATATATTGTGAAGGGTCAAAATGAATAATGAAAAAAATGAATCCAAAACCATGAGATAGAAGAAACTTTGAAAGGTTCATGCCTGTCGATCCTCATATTGCAGAAGATTGCATAATATCGGAACAGCCTCCATGAAAGGTGAAAAATTTTCTGATGGCAGCTTCTTGCATATGTTCACCACAGTTGAAAGTGCAACTCTCTGATGAGAACAAAAAAATAACAAATTATTGTTCAAGCTCCCACACCAAAGGAAAACGTGAATAGAACTGAAGTAAATAAAAAGGAAAAAAAGAGTAAATACCAATTGATCAATATTGTGAATTCACTTACTTGTACACTTGTAGAGAAGAAGTCTATAAAACTTAGAACTGCCATTATTGCCCCAGATTGTAAACATGGAAGTGGTTGATCACGAGAAATTTTCTCCAATGCTTGCAAACACTATATCAAAACAATACACATAATCTTAATACCCAGCATATTGCATTCTCTCTTTTGCATAAAGCCATAAATAAAACCATTACTAACATTAGACAAGCTATTTACTACACACAAAAATATACCTGTTCAGCTACATCCAAGTATTCAATGGCCATTAATCTTTGACAAATAGCAGGAATTGCATCATGCCTAACAAGAAAAATGGATGCTCGGGGAAACACATCGCACAGATAAGTCAAGGCCCTTATAGCCAATAGCATTATATCTGGGTTACTCTCATGCCTTGAAAGCATAACAAGAACTGGAGATAACGAGTCTGCCATTGTACTAGAAAGTGAATCCTCTGTACAAAATGAAAGCACTTCACATAACTCCGTAAGTGCAGCTAACTGCCCAGAAGGCTCAGTCCCTTCACTTAAATTAGATAAACAACCCCTCAATCTGCTATGATCACCAGAGGATCTCTGCCTCTGATACTCACGCAAACTGCTATGTCTTGGACCCTCAGAATCACAAGAGCCATAAGCTGAATCCCTCTCAGGTTCTTCCTCATCTGAATGGCTTGAGGCCGAACCAGATGATGAAGTATCCATGTCGGCGTCATGGATTTCAGCATTACGAGTCTCAGAATTTATTTGAGTTTGAATCAATGAGTTCGATGAACTTGGCCTATACTCCAACGAACTACAAGCTCTCTTATCAGCTGGCAATTCGTCAACCATCTCTGCTCGTTTTTGCCCACGATTTCCCATTGATTTTGTCCAGTATCTTAAAGCTTTTATCAGCAAAACTTCCAAATAAAAATTAAACCCCTACAAAATAAAAAATAAATAAATAAAAATTAAATTCTGACAAATTCACAGACACAAGAACCACAACAATTGTCTGTAAGGAAAAAAAAACTCACAATTTTAGTTCAAAATCACTTTTGAAAAGTCAACAAAACTTCACCACTAGAAGAACAGAAGTATAAACATTGCCGTTCTTATGAAATCAGAAACGCTAGAACCAAACAAACATCGGAAAATAAGAACAAAAATCAAAATCATACATACACGTCTGTTTCATCGTCCTTCCACAGGGTTTGCTTTCAGTAACAACAACAACGAAAAAAAAACTCAAACAACCGTTATAAGACTGAAAACATGTTAAACAGCAAAACGAGAAGATAAAAAATAAATAAATAAATAAAATAAAAACACTAGATTTGTTCTCTCTGTGTAATAAACCAGTACCATAATTGTCATCATCAAAACACTAAAAAAGCCACTCACTTTAACAGAAATAACACAAAAACTTGCGATTTTAAGGATAAGAAACGTAAAAAAATCGAAAATCAAAAAACAAAAAGAAGCAAACAATGATGATTAGATCATAAAATTATTGATACTACTTAAAGTTTTTGATAATACACATGTAAGTACCTAATAATAATTGTTGCGGTTGTTGTTGATAGGCCTTCGAGAGAATCGAACACCTAGACGAAATCTTAATCTAGGGTTTTTTTGCTGTTGTTGTTTTAATTTTAGAAGGATTGTTTTTCTTCTTCGCCGATGATTTCTGGTGATGGTGATAATTATGATAGAAACAGGGGCGTAAGTTTTTATTTTATATATAAATATATTTATAAGTGTTTGGCTTTGGCTTTGAGAAAGGAGATATATATACACTCGTATGCATATGGTAGATTGCTATTAAGCTTCCACTACTGCAAAGTTAGTGTTGTGTGCTGCTAAAGTGCATTTAAATTGATGATGTGTCTTTGCATTAACCATTCATCAATCATCGTCTTTGATGAATTTGGACGGTTTTGATTGACGATCTTTCCATAACTCCTGACTTTTGTGGACATTTAAGCCGAACAATTGTTTTTTTTTTTTTATGTTGTCACCGGAGGTATTATGAGTAAATTATAAATTAATCCGCTTGTTATTTTTATTTAAATAAAAATAGATATAACGAAAAAATTATTAAAAAGAGATATTTTTAAAAATAATATAATATTAGACGTGATCACTATTGGCCAAACAAATAAATTATTAGTTTTTAAAATAGAAAAAACTAAACTAATTTATAATTTACTCAGACAAATTATTAGATGAAACTACGTTACAGTCCAAATTATAGACCAATTATGCATCTCTTCTCTTTAGTTATGTTAGGAAATAGAATCAGTTTTCTCTTCTTTTTAATGAAAATCAAATCTGTTTTTTTCCTCTAACTTGGTTATTGCTATGTTGTTAAACAAGATGATATGTAGTTATACAATTATTCTTATATAATCTAGAATAACGAATCAAGTTCGCTTAATAATTTCTACATAGTGAAACGTATTACAAACTAACTTTCATGCATTTACATTAAATTTATTTTTCAAATGACATATTATTCATGTTAGGACAGTCCTGACCTAAAATTAAATTATGGTAAATTCATTTTTCAAACAACAGATCATTCATGTTAGGATAGCCCTGGCCTAAAGTTGAATCCTAGTGCATCAGAAAGAAAGCATAAACTGTAATCATTAAGTTAATCATCAGTCCTTGCTGTGTAGGAAGAAAAACTAACGAAGAATTGAAACATTGATTTTTTGGGGAGAAGAATCATAAGCCTTGAAATAGTACGCATTGAGTTCGTCGTTTCTAGCTTTTGTTAGGAATTAGAATAATACAAGGCAGCTTTTACTTTAGAGCGGTGATATAATTGCTGATGAAAAGTTGGAGTGGCACGACTCGTTTATTTTATGTTTCGTTCTTATAGAAGAAAGCAGTAATCAACATTCCGTCTCATCTTAAAATTAGCATTTATTGCTTGAAGGTTGTTCTCATTTGTTCTTTAAATCTTTACATGTTTCGTCCAATATTTCCCTCTTGTTAATTAATACAAGCTGATGGTTTTTAAAGTGATTAAAAAATTAGAGGTGCAAAAGAAAGTAGTGGGGTCCATGGAAATTGTTGCTAGGCAATGGGAAGGCATTTTCTTCGCCCATTATTTACTTTTAAAGTCAGTTGCACCTTGGCAATGGACCCAAACCTGAATGAAACTACTAAATCCAAACCGTTCTTTGGTCCAACGTAAAGAGGCAGGCACCAACCAGATTGGTGCCAAGTAGTCAGCACGCATCAGAAACACGCAAAAGAAACGGTAGCCTTCTCCCTCTTTGCTTGTTGGCTCATTGTGTCGCTTTCCTATGGACCAAGGCCCTGGCGTCTAGTCCTGGTGGATCATCTAGGCTTGCCCGCAGGACAAGAGATGACACCCGTCATGAGATCAATAAAAAAAACCTTGCATGTTAGGACCCAAGGAAATTCTCATCAGAATGCAATAGAACTTTACAAGCATGAAACCATATGGCGGAGCTTTCTCTGGCTATTCATGAATCACAACCATTTGAATCCACTAGCAGATATCCCACAACAGGCAAGAGCGTGCACAGATCTGAATACAGCAAGTTTTATAGTGTAAGGATGAAATGAAGGGTAAGATAGAAATAAATCAAAACAAAATGAATTACAACCAAATGTCGGGCCAGGATTTAAGTCCAATGCATAACATAATAACTCTTGCACCGTCACAATATACCAGCAATTCAAAATTGGATCCAATATCACGTGGATTGAAAAGTACTTGATATTAATTAACCATTGAACCTCCTTATTTTGTCCCTTCGCCCGAATTGTCTAAACACTAAAGCATGCGGTAGAAAGAGAAGTATCATAATTAGTCAAGTATCTTCTCATATAAGTTAGCAAAGAAAAAGTATAAAGACGAAGGATAAAAAAAAAAGTTCGATATTACCAAAGGGAAAGCCATATCAGTCGAGTAAATACAAATATCATTTAAGCCCATTCATCTTTGCATTTCTTTTTTTTTTCCAGCTTGTGATGAAAAATAAAGAAAACGGGAACATAAGCAGTTTTCCTAAGATCAGGCCCTTAAATTCTCATTAAACAAATTATAGCGTTAACATAGGATGAATAAAATCACTGCATCGATTAAACAGATGCCCAGTTTACAGATCAATTCATAAACACAAGAACAGAGTCGCATACCCTTCCCAAGTACCCATTCTAAAAATCAAAAGACACAAGTAACTAATCCTCCCAACATTTACAATGCTTCAAAAGTCATTCCACTCCAACAGATACCCAAATTATACAAATCTTACCGGAAAATAACCCAGGACACGACAAGTGAACCAAAACCACTCAAGCTGTCGGTGTTTACACCAGATCGATGTTTTGGGACACTATTTGTTCTGGCCACTAGATAAAATTAAATACCCTCTAAACGACGAAATTTCCTTATAGAAGAGCAGATATCTACTCATTGCTTTGCATGGGAACCATCAGGTGCTTAGCCTGCGACTAAAAACATTTACAAGAGTCCAGTAAATAAAGATGCTAGAGCTACGAAATCAAAAGGGAATTTCTTGTGTTGCAATAACTCTTTTAGTTTCATCAACCAATCACTCAAGGATTTATATGGAGATACAATCAACCCATGAATGCTAGGAGAAAAAAAAAAAAAAACAATAAAAGGTTGAAAGAGAATACAATCAAAATAATTCAGAAAGGACATTCAAAAGAAAAAATGTAAGCATAACAGTTCGAACAGTGAGTCCTCAATAATAACAAAACGAAATCCAAACCACCCACTCCCATCCCAGCCTCCGCACACAATATAAGTGCCAGAGTATGTGTGGGATTTTGTACACGTTCACACAAAAAATTAAAGTTGGAAGTGCAAATCTAATTCGTAATTTCTTCTTTACATAATCATCAAAGAACAAGAACATATTGGCATGCCTGAAACTTCCAGTTCACATTATACTTCAGTATACTTTAACTTGAACAGGAAAAATTTAAGATGCAATAAGTCCATCTCTCATTATGTCTCAAACAATTAGAACCATACTGGCTAATTGAAAACCCTTTTCTCCAGTGACTAACCTCTGCAGTTGCATAGTTCACATTATATAGCTTGGAAATCATTTGGAGTTAATTAGAGCACCATTTAATCTTTCTAGTGTTTGGATTGCTATAGATTTGAGTTTAGGTTCCAACACTATTAAAAATTTAAAGGAGGTGACAGCAGGAATGACACATCACATGGTAGAGGCTGTTGATAAAAATTGTGATACTGCGACGGCAACAACTGCATGCAAGCTGATGGTTGTACAGTATAGTGGTGATGATAACTGTTTGGTACAGCAGAAAAAAATGGCAGAAAAGGTAATGCAAGCAATGGTGATGGCATGCAGCATTATATGGTGATACTAGTGTCAAGAGAAATGACAGCAGAAATCAGTAAATGCATTGGTGGCATGGTACGGCAGCACCATATATAACAGAATAAGCATGCAAGGTGTTGCCATTTAAATGGAAGAACGCCACAGTCCCCATGATAAAGAAATATCCTTCATATGTAATATGGAATAATTCAACAGTTTGGATAACAAAGACCTGAGATATCCTAATCATTAAGCATAAAAATTAATATCAATATGGTTATCACTATCCATAAAAAAATATGTAAGATATCATACTAAAATACGATATCTTACATATTTTAATATGAATAACCTATCCAGGGTCCTAATCTAGCAACCAAGTGAATATGAATCGATGCACGTGACATGTTGACATGTAGGTAGCACATAGTTCAGCCAATTGTTACCCAATATGAAAATCAGTTAATAAACAATAATCAACTACCCCATAATTTAATATAATATAAATTCTTTCACAGCTACGCATAGATAATTTCTTAGGTGCTCAGATGTTAATAAAGGTAGTTCAAGTATCCAACCTAGCTTAATTTACTAGCTGTAATGAAGTAATCTTGGCCACCAAAAAAGAGAAAGCTATTTCATATTAAAATTAAATTGTGTTCCTCAAGCATAATGTTATACTTACATTAGTGTAAATGGGCACGGAGGGGTGTGGGTGGGTGGATGGGGTTTGTGTGTGTGTGTGTGTGTGTGTTGAGAGAGACAGAGAGAGAGAGAGAGAGAGCTTACTTGAGGATTTGCATAACTAACACCTTGTGAGAAAGAACCTTGATGAGATATCTGCCAGATAAAATGATTATGATTGGGTTGCATAAAAATTTAGTACTATAATATAAAAACAAGGAGGTAATGGATTGACTAAATATAAGAAATAGCAGTAATTCAGCAACGTAAAGCTCCATTTCACCTGCGCATTTGGACTAGGCCGAACAACCTCTTTAGCAGATGTATCTCCAGCCTTTGCAGATCCCTTGGTATCACCCTGTCAAACACCACATCTCATAATCATATCCAGACTTCCCAAAAACTAGTGCAAGAAAATATAAAAAGAGCATTAATTAACATACCTCCATCTGCATCATCCATTCAATCCCAAAAGACCGCAAAACAAAAACATCAGTCAATCATCGGTTATTGAAATTTCAACAAAATCTCAATCTTGCATACTGAAGTAACAATACAAAACTGCATCAGAAATTAAATTCCCAAATCCCATTCCACATCAATTTCTCATAATTTATACCATCAACCAAAATCTAACATTAAATCAGATTAAAAAAAAAAACAAAAAACAATAAGTGAAATGAAAAACGGTAAAAATTAAAAGGGGTAAATAGTGGTCATAAACAATCACCTCTCTGTATCGAGACAGGTAAATCTTAAGAGGATCAATATAATCCTCAAATCCTAAAGTAGTCATAGCCCAAAGCAAATCATCTCCATTAACCGTCTTTCTCTTCTCTCTCTGACACTTATCACTTGCTCTACACCAAACAAACCCCCCAAAATCAACAATTCAATCACAAACAAAACCAAAGAAAGCCAAAACAAAATCAAATGAAATAGCATCACTTACTCGCTAGTAATAAAGCTAATAAACTCAGAAACACATTCTTGGATAGTCTCTTTAGCATCCTTAGCAATCTTTCCATTAGCAGGAAGCGCTTTCTTCATAATCCTACTAATATTCGCGATCGGTAAAAACCTGTCTTGTTCACGAGCATTAGAATTTGAACGAGGACTTTGGTCTCCGCTCTCGTGGCTTCCTCCTCCTGGACTCGCCGGTGCTTCCGCCGCCATATCGAAAACCCTAACTCGCCATCAATAATCATAATTAATTAACCAAACAGCAATTAGGAAGAGAGAGATGAGAGAGACAGAGAGTGAGTGTATTTTCTGTTATATGCTTTTTTTATTTTTTATTTTTTGTAATTTGTGTTGGTTCGTTACCTGTTACAAAAAAAGGCGCGAGAGAAGAGGATAGGAAGGGAGAATTGGATCGGACGCTGGAGAAGAGAGGAGAAAGGAGACGACTAAGATGAGAGATGAGGTTTATCAACACCGTTGGTTTTTCTTTTTCTTTTTTTTGGCGTTTCGTTTCTCTCTCTTTTTCTCTCTTCTAGTTGCTTTTAATTATTTTTATTTGTTTCTGCAATTTCTTTCGGTTTCGAGATTAGGTTCGTCGAGATCTTATTTGACCACGTGGTATCGGAAGAGTTCTGTTTGTTTTGTGCTTCCTTTTACGACGTCGTTTAGATCCACTAACCTCTCCTCATCGTTTAGAAACTTGCCAAAGGCAAGGGACTAGGTATTTATAATGTTCCACTCCAGTTCTGCAAATTTTATGAAGCGTTATTAATTTTGAGTGTTTTGGGAGTCCCTTCCGACGTCGATAGCGGCATTGAGTATTGAATTATCATAAATTCAAAAATAAATTAAAGACAAGGAGTAAAATTTTATAAAGCGTTATTAATTTTTAGCATAGAACTTGAGTATTGAATTATCATAAATTCAAAAATAAATTAAAGACAAGGAGTAAAATTTTATAAAGCGTTATTAATTTTTAGCATAGAACTTTCATAAAATCCAATGAATTATTATTTTATTTCCTTCATTTCTTGCTTTTTTGGAATTTTTATTTTAAAAAATAGAACAAAAAACCTTATTAATATGAAAAGATTGATGCATAAGTAAGATATTTTTTAAAATAAAATAACATTAAATTAACTATGATTCATGCTGTCAAATGATTAATTAATTAGTTAAAACCAAAATTCATTGTTTTTTTACAAAATTAAAAAGACTAATTAATAATTTACTCTAAAGTCGTCTATTAAAAAATTAAGCAGATGACATTTTTGTCATCTAATTGTAATACAATTCTCGATTCGGACTCTAAATAAAAATATTCTCAATTAAATATCTCATATGTCAAATATAACCTAATCCCCCGCCATTTAATCTTTTTTTATAATTTAAAATATAAATATTTAATGCAAGGGCAAATGTCCTCTTGGTGGCCTCCTGGAGTCCTCCTAATCTCCACACTTAACTCTATATTTAGTGAAAGTAATTTTTAAGCCTTCATATCTTCTGCTGGATATATACAAATTTTTTATTATTTTTTAGTAAAGAAAAACCTATAAATTACGACTAAACAAAAAATGGCAAAAAAAAAAATTGTGTGTAATTGCGATTAATAAATGGTATAAAAAATTAAAATATCCTATATCCATCAAATATTAAACATAATTACACTTAACTATCCAAATTAGAATATTAGATCCATAAGAATTACAAGCCCATCAGTTTAAAAATTTTAAATAAATAAGTCTATTAAGAATAAAATTTGGGTTACCTAAATCACTTGAAATAAATTTTAGATAATTCAATTGAACTATCCATTTTCTAAAAAAAATTTACCCGAATTGATTTGAATAATTTTGATTTTTTTTTTTTTTTTTGAAATGATACGCACTGCTATTACCGTCTAACCTACACATTAATTGGTAATTTAGCTAGTTAAATTATTGTTTTTGTGGTGTGTTATAAATATTAGATTGATAGCGTGAAATTAAAAAAAATTAAAATTAAAGTAACACGTGAATATCATGTGAGATGTGAAGCATTGATTTATTTATTATTATTATTATTATTCTATAAAAGAGAGGTTAAAACTCAAAATCTTTGAAGAATACGAAGACACTGATGTTAGTTGCACTTCATTGGCAAGAATGTAAGAAATTTATCTCTGATTAAGTTTTAATTATATAGTTTTGTCCAAGATAATGCTAAATCCGCTACAAAAATTGTTTTTTTTCCCTACTAATTTCTTTTTATAATGACTATTGTAAGCTTTCATATCGTCTTTAATGAAAACGGTAATTTAAATTAGAATATAATAAATATTAATCAACAAAGCAGATTAATTATCTAAGAAAACCAAGTACTGAGAGTAATAAAATTGCTAGTGAATTTAGCAAAAGCCATTTTTGTCCATGTTAAAAATGCGAATGGAGCAAGCAGGACCAGGATATAAAAAAATCGTACGTCTAATGCCTCCGTGAAATATCAGAGGCTAATTATTGCTGCACCACCCCACACCTGCCAGAGTAGAACAACCTTGACCACAGGCTTAATGGCCTGCTTTGGGACCAATTGAAAGCAGGTAGGTTACCACCATGATAAGACCAAATCCGACGGCCTGAGGCTTGAAAGAAGCAATGGGGTTCTCGTGTCTTGTAAAGAAGGAACAAGTTAATCTTAAACTTGTGGGCTGCGCAACAAAAACCCTGTTAACAATCCAAAGCAAGGCACATGATTTTCCCTTAATTTTAGCGTGCAAAGATGGACGACTCACCTCTTCTTGTAGGACCTTTAGCATTGACTGTATACAAGTGTAAACGCGTCTCTGATTTAATTGTCTGAGTCCAGCAGTGGTCCGTTTTATTTCTCATAGTCTTTAGAAATTTGTTTAAGTTGTTGGTCGTACGTGGCTGCCACATAGGAGCCGGTACTGCACCTTTCAAGTAGTGGTCAAGTTTGTTATGTATTACCTATTTAAAAACTATAATCTTAGTGAATAATATTATAATTCACCAGAATATTTCCTCTGCTCATTGTTAACAGTGATCGGAGCCTTCAAACAGAGGTTAAATAGAATCAAGATAGAGAGAGAGAATTCGTGAGATAGAGAGCATAGCAGCAGCTTTGTTTCTAGCATTTTGCAGCGGCAACAAAGATGAATTTTGATAACTTTGTGCCACCTGACATACCATGCTTTGATGGCCACTGAACATTGGAGCATGCCAATGAAGAATTTCTTGAGGTCAAAAGAGTATTTGCAGGTGGTTTTTTCTGGTGTAGCAGAACCAGCTGTTGGTGATAGACACTACCAAAACCATTCAAATTAGCGACCGTCTAGGCTGTCGCTAATTATAAAAAAAGTCATTGTTAATACTAATTTGTGATGGTTTTGTGACGATTTAATTCCATTTCAAAAAACTTTCTTGCTAAAAAATTAACAACGGTTTTTCAAGATCATCGTTATTTAGCGACGATATCCATCATTGATTCTGGATAACTTAGCGATCGTTTTTAAAAATTGAGGTAAAATTCGATCACTAATTTTAGATAAATTAGCGACTATTTTATAAAACCGTCGCAAATTATCAAGAATTGGAGACTATTTGTAAAGATGGTTGCTAATTATTTATTTAGCAACGGTATAAAACCGTCGCTAAATCCGTATGTAATTTTTTTCAATATTTACTGGAAATAATTTTTTTAAAAATTAAGGTATTCTAATTTAAAAACTAAAAAAGCGATATACATAAAGTTTTTTAAAAAATTTTAAATAGTACAAAATCATTATAAAATGAAATATACATTAAAACATCAAATTATGAAATAATTTTTAAATTTGTTAATATTACAAGAAAAATAAAACATTACCTATAAACTAAAACGCGTGGTGATTTTATTGTTCGAATAAATAGTATGAACAAGTAACCATCATGCGGTACTCTTCACTTGAATAGTTTTTTTTTTAGCTATTTTTTTTTTAACCCTTAGCTATACTACTCAACCTTAGTTTTTCTATCCCTTCTTTTTTAATTTTCACTCTTACTTATTTTCTTAATTTTTTTAATTATTTTCTTTAATTTTCACCCTTAGGTTTTTTTTTAAAAAAATGTCAAATTATTTCGTTTTTATCTCTAAAATTTTAAAATAATTTAATCCCTAGCCGATGCACTATATGTCTTTTTTTCTCATAATTTTTTTTTATTTGATTGTGTTAAAATTTTTAAAAATCGATCCTTATTTTTTTCCACATAGGTCGATAATTTATTTTACCCAACACTATACTAGTCAATTTTAGTTTTTTTTTCTTTTTTTTTAAATTTCACTATTTCTTTTTTTATTTTTTTTCATTTTTACTCTTATTATTTAAAATTTATTTCTTCAATTATTTATTTCTTATTAAAATTCTAATCAAATTAATTTTTTGATATAGTTTTATTTGTTAATAAATTTGGTTTTCTAATATATGAATTTTAGAATAAAATTTTAGAACATCGGTGTTTTTTTAAAATATATTATTATAATTTATAAATTCGATTATATATATATATATATATATATATATATATATATATATAGAGAGAGAGAGAGAGAGAGAGAGAGAGAGAGAGAGAGAGAGAGAGAGAGAGTTAAGAGTATATTTCAATTTTAAAAAAAATAATCGATTAAAAAAGTCATAAGTTTTATTTGTTATTATATATATATTTATTTGGAATTTATTACAATCAATTTTATTGTAGTTTTTTATTTTAATCTATTGACTTCAATATATTTTATACAATTTAGCGAGTCCGGTCTTTCTTTTTTCTTCATATATATATATTATCATGAAACTAGGTGCGAAAAATATAGAAAATAAATCTTTATTTTTTTTAGTTTTACGTACAGTTTGAAGATGATAGAATATATATGATATTTTTTAAGATTTTAGTTTGAACATATATATCCGATTATATTACTCTTATTGTTTAAAATTTATTTCTTCAATTATTTGTTTCATAGTAAAATTCTCATCAAATTAATTTTTTTATATAATTTTATTTATTAATACATTTATTTTTTTAATATATGAATTTTGGAATAAAATTTTAAAACGTTTGTGTTTTATATTTTAAAAATATATTATTATAATTTATAAATGCTTATATATATATATATATATATATATATATATATATATATATATATATATATATATATATATATATATATATATA